CTGCGTAGATATAACTTTGTGTTGGTGCTAGTAAGTGCATGTGGGTGAAAAATTGAAATCGGGATTGCAAGGGAATTGTCCTATATACTCGAGACATTCTTGATGACCAACGAGTTCTGACATCGCTGGCTTGTAGTCTAATTATTAAAGGCTTGACGAGGTGATAGCAAAGCTACACGAGCACTTTCGAAATTCAAAGACGAGATCGTAGGCAGCTCGTTTTCACGTAAACACTAACAGACTCGAAGGATGAATGAAGCTGTACATTCATTTCCGGCGGTTGAGTTCTCCATAGGCAATAAGATTCAAGCCTCAGCCAACGATTGAAACCTGACGCCGAAACGCAACAATCTCTGGCGGAAGACACTCAAATTTGTCTATTAAACCTTTTCGATGGCTGACTTGGGCTCTCAACTAGATCATACGGAGGCTTTACCGCCGAAGGTCAAGGAAGGGAGAAGGCAGGATACAGTGGATGTGACCGGAACACAACGAGGACAAAGTGGCGTTCGCCATCTAATGCAGAATAGCACGGAGTATGATGATATTGTACAGCTCTCAGCTGAAATGTTGTATGGAGGTCGGCACCGAAAGTCCTGGACAGCGCTAGTGGAGCCCTAACCCTAACCCTGCTTTCGGAAGGCGACCCTGTAGCTCGGGACCCTAGAATTGATTCTGAGAGCGCATAGGTTGAACTACAAGGACTTCCATTGGACCTGATAGGGGCAATGAGCCCCAAACTGGACTCAATTCAAGCGCAATTCCGATGCAGAACTAAACGTAGGTATTGTGTATTGTCCAGGGAACCCTTCATGGCAGGGCGTCATGAGAGATCTTGGCGCGGGAGTCTTGGCGTCCAGGACGACCTCCGTATAGAAGAGAAGAGGTGGGGCTGGGAAATGCTTGGTTCAATGCGAGGCCTACGCGCCAAAAACACGAAACGCGCTTATCCGCAGTTTCATATTGCATTGTCACTATTGTAGCGCATTTGAAGACAAACAGTTAGGACATTCCAGAAACCCGGTCATGTCTCAGTCAACAACAAATGCCACGCTATCAGACGCTCTGAATCACCTTTCAATTTCTACAGCAGCCGCAACAGCTTTACCACCTTCATCTCCTATCGCTTCACCTATGGCAGCACATGAAGTCCATGCAACCACTCCTGGCCCAATTCATTCCAGGAAAACCCCCCTTCGGAGGGTCCCGAGCTCAGGCTCACTTGGCGGCAACGAACGACCTACAACACCTACATTGCGCAAGCGGACATCATTGGGCTCTTTGCAAGGCACCGGCGGAAGGACCTCGCCGCGATCACCAGCCTTCCGCCGAACCTCTTCAACACTAGCTGCTTCGCCCAGCAGCACAACCATGGGTGCTAGATCAAATATTTCCCCACCGGCGGAGAAACTCTCTCAATTAGCACCTACAGCGGCTTCTATCGCTCACGAATACTTCAAGAAGGAGCTGCAGATGCATGATGACGGATTCGGCGCTGTACAGGAAGCCCAAACCGTGGTGATCCTTCAAGATGACTGCTACGGTCACCGTTACTCAAGACCAAGGACCTCAAGGGCAACTCTCAGCACTATAGTAGAGCGTCCTGAGCGTATACATGCCTCTATCCTGGGGCTAGCTACGGCATATGTTCGTCTTGGCGGACGACATGCAGAGGGTCATGCTGCCCCGCATCCAAAGAGACATCCATCTTACTTCCCCGCCGGACCATTTCAGATACGGAAGACTTCTCGAAGAATGTCACTGAGATCTCCTGCCACCACGGCTATCCACGGGGCAAAGTGGATGACCGAACTCAGTGCCATGTGCGATGCGGCAGAGTCGAAATTAGCACTTGGTGGAAAAGAGCTCACGAGATCGAATACAAACGCCCAGACAAACGGTGCTTCCCAAGATGAGCAGTCGAAACTGCATGAAGGAGACTTATACCTTTGCTCAGGGTCTTTGAACGCCTTAGAAGGCGCTCTGGGAGGTGTCTGCGAGGGTGTTGATGCGGTCTTCAAGGAACAGGGAGCGAGGCGAGCATTTGTTTGCATTCGACCACCCGGGCATCACTGCTCTGGTGACATGCCATCGGGTTTCTGTTGGCTCAACAACGTTCACGTAGGAATAGGCCATGCTGCCTTGACTCATGGACTGACCCACGCGGCCATCATCGATTTTGATCTGCATCATGGTGACGGATCCCAATCTATCACATGGGCCCATAACGCAAGGCTTTCTTCATTACCAAAGAACACCCCCATATCAAAGAAGACAGCTATCGGCTATTTCAGTCTACACGATATCAATTCATACCCATGCGAGATGGGTGACGAAGAAAAGGTTCGTAATGCAAGCTTATGCATCGAAAACGCCCATGGACAGTCAATATGGAACATCCATTTACAATCATGGAAGACCGATGCCGAATTTTGGAAACTGTACCAGGACCGCTACTCAGTCGTTCTCTCAAAAGCTAGAGACTTCCTCCGATTGCATTCGGATCGCATTCGTCAAGCGCCAACCCATCCAAAGCCCAAAGCCGCTATATTTCTCTCAGCAGGGTTCGATGCAAGTGAATGGGAAACCCAAGGTATGCAGAGACATCAGGCCAACGTTCCTACAGATTTTTATGCCCGTTTCACCCGCGACGTCGTCATGATGGCAGAAGAAGAAGGCCTGGGAGTCGATGGTCGCGTGATCAGTGTACTTGAAGGCGGCTACAGTGACCGAGCCCTCATGAGCGGCGTCTTGAGCCACGTCAGTGGGCTGACTGCCGCTACGAACCCGGTAAGGCAGCGGAATATAAGCAATGGGCTAGGCCATGAGATGGGTTGGAGATTGGGGAAACCGGATATTAATGATGATCCTCTACAAAACCTTGAGGATGTGCCAAGACAATCGATTGAAGCTCTCGATACTACATGGTGGTCCCCTCCCCAGTTGGAAGAAATAGAGACTTTGATCAACCCTCCACAGTCCACAGCAGCTCCTAAGAAGCAGCGAAACGATTCGCGACCAACGTACACTTCAGCCACTCAGTCATATACGGCCAAGATCGTTTCTCCCACTCAAGGCCGGCGATCTTTCTCCGGCAATGGCGCACATAATTATCGGACAGCGTCTCCTGTGTCTCGGGGACCAAGCCCTCCGCCACCCGCGGTAGATTGGGCTACAGCTGCGCATGAGCTAAGTAAATTATTGGTGCCATCTGATCGTGAGACCAGGAGCTGCAAGCCCGAAGATCTGAATGCCGAAGCAACTCGAGCCCGACGAGATCGTCAGTCGAGTGTGGGGTTGCCTGTGGGCGGCCCTGTCAATGATCTTAAGCGAATGCAGCTTCGGGATCGAAAGGTCAAGCCACCGCAATATACGTCAGACGATGAGCAACCGAAGCCTATGTCTAGAGCAGACCGCCGCAAAACCATTGCGGATGTCTCATTACTGGCTCGGAACATCGAACCTCCGATTGCAGGGCATCCAAGCGCGGCACAACCTGTGCAGCATGTGAGAAGACGCTCAAGCGTGACGTCCAGCGCTGGTTCAATGCATGCCGAGAAAGGCTCAGATTTCAGTCTCGGTTCTGCAACTGATAGCCAACCACGACGGGAGCCACTTGTGGTGAAAAAGGCGAGAGCCCCTGCGATTCCTCGTCCAGAAGTCGGAAAATCTAAAGCCATTAGAAAACAACCTGCAAGCTCCGTTGCGCCAAAGAGTGTCGGCCAACCAGCTCCGACACAGCCCTCGCACGAGATGGACAAAGTCCCATTATCAGAGAATGAGGAACTGAAGAACAGGGATGTTGACCAGCTGGTTTCTGGAATCACACAGATGAGGATCAAACTGAATGTTCCACCGAAGGAAGAATACGAAGCCAGGCAGACGATGTCGAAACCTGCTCCACGCGGGCGGCCCAAATCCACGACCGCTAAAACTGCAAAGGCTGCTTCCCCCACCAAGGCAAAATCCAAGGCGGTGAAAGTCGCACCAGCGATGATTGCTGAGGAGCCGCTCACGCCTCGACAGCTCCCTCAACCAGCTCCTTGCACAGGCCCTACTCCAAGAATGCCTACGCCAGCACCAGCACCAGCACCAATCCTACCCGAGCTGGGGCCGGCTGCTCGTGAATCTTTTCATCCTCCAAATACATCTTTTGCTGCTCCACCCTCTTCTACTGTCTCCGCATTTGCCTCAGACATGTTAGAATCCGGGCCATTCTCCGCCTATACGCCAAGCAAAGGAATGGAGACCTCCATAGCTGCACCTCAGCCGGCTCCATCAACTTCGTCCCCCAATTTCGCAGCACCAAGTACGCCAATGACGGCGAAACGAACCAGGCACGACCTTCCCGTCTTCACCTCTACGTCGTCCATTTCCTTTGGCAGACCGGCTAGTACCAACCCAACCGTTGATCAAGCTATGATGCGAGATAGTAATGATCAAAAGGACTCGGTTCTGCCTGAGACGCCAAGTCCAGGTCCGCAGCCTGTTCTTCCAGCTCAGAGCCAATCACCAGTGACTTCCGGATCTGCGGCAGAGACTGACACGAAAGAGGAGTCGCTGTCTTCTGGCTCTATCTGGGACGTTCCTGACACTCCACAATTTCGAATGCCTTGACTATTTTGTTCAGCGAAATGGTTTTCCATCTTAGACCAAGGGTGTTTGGTAACGAATGTCCTTTGTTTAGAAATTAGATACCCCATACAGCAGTCACATCATTGCACTTCCAGTTGAATTACAGCAGTCTTTTGAGATACTCTTGGAATACACTCTCAACGTCAGGTACACCCTGCGGACAGAGTGAAAGTATTTGGTATGATGTAATATGCACTGGCAATGAATCTAGAAACAAAAATCGAACACTGACCATGTTCTGGCAGATCCTAGTCAGAACCACGCCGTTCTATGCAACCTCAGATTCCAGCAGATGACGCCCAAATATCATCTCATGAACAAGACTCCCTTTCTCTGCTTACTTTCCAAGCACCAGAAAAAGACTTCTACCCTCTCGAACTTTTCCCAATACTACTCCCTAAACTGCTATGGCCGAAAAAGCTGAATTTGCTGCTGACCTTGCTCCCTGTGTCACTAACCCAGTCTGGCACCTTGAGGTGCCCACCTTTCAAACTTATCTTCATCCTACCCTCTGCTATCATGTGCACAACATTGATGATGCGGAAGGCACTACTGCCCAACGCTCTAAATAGCGCCACGCAAGCCACACTCCACAGAATGAATTTGAGATAGAAATTATTAGTGATGTGCGTGCTGTTATAGGCTTCGCTGACGGCCATGGCGAGTATAGCGTTCGAGATCATCCACACGACGACCATGTATGTGCGGACGGCGCGATAGTAATCCTCTTGCTGAGTGGCTTCGCTGACGCCGTCCTTGGGGACCTCGAGTCTGTCCCGGAGATTGCGCAGGGCTTCGTCGTAGCCGGAGTCGATGTCCAACTGCTCACTGGGCATTTCTAACTCGACCGTGTTGCCTTTGCCGCTCACAGCTGCGCCGAGATCGATATGAATGACGTTGTCGCCTTTGGTACCCCAGCTGACGTCGTGCGTGTTGCAGAAGGCGTATACCTGTAGTGTGCAGATGTACGAGGGTAGGAGAGCAAAATATTGAGCGCTGGAGGTGAACATGTGCCATGGGTCGAGGTAGAGGAAGGACATGAGGAAGTATATGCCTACGGTTGAGCCGGTCGAGACGATTAAGTTCGTGAATATATTGTTGCCAAGGTGGAACGAGGTGGTTGGACTTTTGAGTTGGACAACGACGATGTATATGGATGCGAAGACGGTGTAGGTCATGATTATCGAGTATATGACTAGACTGGACATGTACATTTTCTTGGCTCTGAGAGGGAGGTTAGTCGCTTTCCATGTAGATGAATTGGAACACGAATAATACTGACCCTTGAGGTCGATTCCCCATTGATAGGATGAATTGAGTGCAGATTAAAAGGACACAGGCGAAGCGAAGGATAACGAAGATATACATGCCGATATTGTGGCCGAAGGGATCGAGTTTCGGATCCGAGAGTGATCCAGCAATGAAGTAGAAGGTTAGGTAGAAGTTGGCCTAGGGCTGTCAATCTCCATCCCTCGGTAAAGTAGGGAGATTTGCGACTTACGAGGGAAAAGAAGGTGAAAGCCAAGCTGACGAACTGGTAGACGAACTCGATATGCAACAAAACTTTCCGTGCAATGGAATGATCCGTATGCCATATCTGCTTGAAATGCACGAGCGAATAGACCGCGGCAAAGAAGGCTCCGTTCAGCCATCTTCTTCGCTGGGATATGAATTCCGGGACAGCATCTGCATTGAGACAGTATCAGTGCAGCCCTCAAGCAAGGATTCGGGTCACTTACCAGGTACATCTGTCTCCCCCGTTGCGCTCTTGACATATTTCAGTACCCACCGCTCATCTCTTTTCGCGACCAACTCCCAGCAGAGGATTCGATCTTCAGCAAGATACATGTTCGCGGTAAAGACATCGGCGTCTTGACCATGTAACGTTTCTCCTTTGAAATACTGACTCAATGGACCATGGCCAGTAGCATCATTCTGAAGTGCGTAGTAACGATACGCACTCAAGGCTCCCGGAAGTACAGTGATATAACCAAACACAGATTCAAGAGGTTTGTCGAGGATGTTGGACATTTTGTACTCGAAGTTTTGTGAAGCAACCAAGGGATTGAGCAATCCTAACCAACCTTTGCCTTTGGCTGCCTTGATCTCGCCACATGCACCTGCAACGTTGGAGTCCGTATCGAAAGCCTTCCAAAGATGATAAAGGGAATTCTCTCCCGGTTTAGTCCCAACGTCGAGCAAGATGCAGACATTTGGACTTAATGCTCTCCCAAAAGCATTGAAGAACCACCGATGAGAATTGAGTTTCTTCTGATTTTTCTCTTTGAGGCAGAATATCATCTGACAAGGTACAATCCCTTTTTCGGCTCCCTTGAACTTGAGATCTGCATCTAGGGAGACCTGGGTGGTGTACTCGTACACGTGAGCTGTGACCTCTCGCTGGTTCACCAAATTCTTCGCAATGCCATCTTGGTACACACCCATTGCAGCAAGAGCGTCCAGCGTCCTTGGGTGCACTTTCCGACGACCATCTGACACTATACAAACAACGATTTTCTGCCACCCGTCTTTTCCCCATGTCCTTGATTTGGCACGGGAGCAGAAATGCGAAATGTTTCTCATTACTCCATGCATGGTACGCGTGAAATCAATCTCGTCCTCGTTGTACATTGTGATGCATATGAAGAGCTCTGTATCTCTCGCAGTATTGCCGATGTTCTGTCTCAATTTGTACCCTTTCAATGTGAAGTCATCAGGGTCACAAGTCACGGCAGTGTACCGCATGTGGGTGAACTCGATCTCGTCCCTTCGCGGGAGAAAGCTATAGAGAATTGTGGGTATCTTGCATTCCAGGATGAGTTCTCCGTTGATGAGCCGTACTTCCTTCTTTGCCATCTGCGCTTGCCTTGCGCCGCGTCTTCGCTCTTGCCTTCCTGTTGGTGCAGGACCGTAATGATCCTCATCTTCTTTTGAGTAGAGGTCCTCTGTGGAAGTTGACTGGGACTGAAAAGACTCGTAAGACTTGAGGCTTGGTCTCAGACGCCCGCTTGATTGATCTCCACTTGGGGGCCCGAAAACATCGTCTTCGTCTTCGTGGATTGGAATTGCCGTAGCTTCTGCGAGATTTCCGGAAGACTGGCTCGCAGCTTGTGGGCCAGAGAACAATGGTGCAGGAGGGAGAGGTCGTTTAGAACTGCCTCCGTACTTTGAAGATGGCGAACCTGGACGAGGGTTCCCATTGAGATCTACCGGTTCATATGCAATGTCAGATGGAGGAGGGCGAGATGATTCGGAGGACGTGCGTGATAACAGCGATCGTGTAGGTGAATTGCGACTTGGAATATACGGCAGATAAGATGGCGCGTCTGTTGAGGTTGGGGCTAGCCTTGGCGCAGTGTCCAGTATGGACGGAGATTGCGGTCGTGGAAGAGAGGAGGCGGATGATGACGGACGGTAATTCAGATACGTTCGCGAGGGGGACACGGGGCTAGAAGTTCCTGGGGGTAAGCTTTGTGTCTTGAAATGCACACGAACTGTGGCACGACGTTTGGGAGATTCATTTGTTTTGCCTACTTGGGCAGAGGATGACCATTGAGAGGGGGTTGGATTGGCCTCGTCCTGATTCAGTTGGTCTACGCCATTCGAATCGTAGGAGTCATTCGCCATATTTCTTTTGATGATAGGTTTGCGCTTGGGACTTGTGTGTGCACGGGGGGGCCTTGTGGGGGAAACGTACGAGCGGCGCTCCGTATCATCTTGGGAACTCAACAGTCGCATTGTAGAGCCATTGTTTGCCAAGTTTGTGGGGGTATTGTCCTTTGGCGTAGTCGAGTAAGATGGAGGCGCTGCTGAGTATCCCGGGGGACCTCCATTTGGAGTAGAAGGGCGTTCCATAACTGATTGAAGGTATGCGCTCGAAGTTCGAGAGGTGTGTTGATGCGGTCAATCCATGAAGGCGCAATACTGGTGCGGAAGGGAAGCTTGGTATCGATGTCCTGGATGACTATTCGAATTTTTCTACCGAAGTACCGTAGCATCAGGTCAAGGAGAGGTGCGGCTCGAATCACTGGAACAATTATGAAGTTTCAAGACATTGCCCGAGGCGGCCTTAAGGTAGTCTTTACAGCATCCTGACTCTTAGGTTTCATCCATGGTTTAGCCGGTTGAAGAGACAACGCTTCCCAATAAGGACTAAAGGCCTTTTCTGAATCTCTACTCGTACTCGTACAGCGTACCGTGTAAGTTCAATCTACTACGAATCTGCCATCTGAAGTATTGCCTTTCCAAAAATCGATCCAGCATCGCAGCATGTCTATGAGGGGGCTGTCGCCCACAGCCAACCTACTCAGGACATCTAGACTTTTTTCCTTACCACCACCGCTCCCAAGGCCGAGCTCAGATCTTACAGCATCCGCAAATTTTAAATCCGATACCGCGACTCTTCCATACCCTACTCATGCTGCCATCGAGACAACCGCATCATCTCTTGGCCGAGGTGACTGGGGACTCAAACGACCGTTGCCTCTGAAGTCTACAACAAGGACCTCAACGCCCACCATCCATATCGACAATGTAGACTCAATCGACCACATTACAGACTTCAGCTCCGCTGCAGGTCATGCTCTGACGCTTCGCAAATGGCAAGACTTTGGTACGCCTCTATCAATGGCGGAGGAGAAGCCGATAAAAGCGTCGGCGCAGCAAGAGCATTATCCACGCAGCGTATTCGAGTCTAAACATGACAACACCTACCAGGATGAAAATGATCCCAACAAACAGCGTTGGAAGTACAGCGGCCCTTGGCTGGCGGGAAAGAACGAAGGAGAGTTCAGACGATACGTGGAGAAGGATGTGAAAAGGCGACGGCTGGATTTCAGGCGCTTCTTGCGTGAACGACTAGCGGAGGAAAAGGCAACAGCACGACGACGGGAAGCCACCGAAAGTGGGGAAGATGTGGAAGGTCCAGATTCAGTCGCAGTCTCAGAGGAAGATGTCGAGGTCTACGCCAGGCGCCTGAGGAACGACGAGCATAAGTTGCACAAACTTGTCGAAGAATATCTGGATTTGCCAAGGGATCGAGGCTCTGCAACTACCAGCTACGATAAGAAAGGGCCACCGACAACACATCCGTCTGCTGGTCTTTCGTATCTTCGGACTGGGTCCCATACCTATAATCATCCTTTACTCGGGCCACAAGAAGAACCGGCGCCAGTCCAAGCTCGCGTGATCAGACCACAGACCACTGCCTCTAATGCCAAACACGATAGAGCCTTGATCGGAGTTGGCGGCGTTGTGGCGGAAGATCAAAGACAGTCATTCACGCGCGACTCAACGGGCATCACAGGCTATAATCCGGATATTCCTGGTGGTGCAAAAATCTATATTCGTGTCCCTACGAGAGCAAGCGTCGATTCACGTGGAAGACTTGATATTATAACGAGGCGACCACGTGACAAAACTTCTGAAAATATTGCGAAAGGCTACTACTCATCAGAGGGAGTAGCGCCTCCGCCTGCAGCTGTTGATGCCGCGCAATATCGAGAAACGCCAACATTGACGAGGTCCAAACTTGAAAGGTCAAGGGAGACCCACGGCTATGGACTGGAACATATGGGTGCTGCAAGAAGCAGTGGGAGAGCTTCGCCATTTCTTGGACCAGAAGACGAGCTGCCAGATCTTAATGGCCTTCTTCGACACGGACGGCAGTCGAATCAAAAGGTCTAAACTCTTCAACTGACAAATTTCTGTAAATAGAACTCGGTTCCCAAAGAGCATAGCCAGGGTGTTCTAGCCTTAATTTGTATATCATGACCGTCAAATCATGGTTGTGATGCTATCCAATTCCAATTGCCTGCCAAGACCTCCAAATTAAGGATCTGCGCCATGATCTTTGTAGTCCACCGTACTTGTGCCCACAAACTTCTCACAAGCGAAGAATTACGACCTCTGTCCATCACGGCTCGAACTCGAAATCTTAAGTCACAGCAAAGATGGTATGCATGTCCGCAAGCTTGCGTTTTCAATCCTTACGCTTTGAGAGCTTACACAAGCTGATGTCTCTGCGAATCATAGGGTCGCGTTCGCACGAAGACCGTCAAGAAATCCGCCAAAGTTATAATCGAACGTTACTACCCCAAGTTGACCTTGGACTTCGAGACCAACAAGCGGATCTGCGATGAAATCGCCATCATTGCTAGCAAGCGTTTGAGGAACAAGGTGGGTTCGGGCTTGTTTCCTTCGCTATTCGCCGTAGAGGTCCTGTAAGAGCTAACACATTCACCACTAGATTGCCGGCTACACCACCCATTTGATGAAGCGTATTCAGCGAGGTCCTGTGCGTGGTATCTCGTTCAAGTTACAAGAAGAAGAGCGTGAGCGAAAGGATCAATATGTCCCTGAAATCTCGGCTTTGGACTTTACGCAGAACACGGAGCAAGGGCAACTGGATGTGGATGCCGATACGAAGGATCTACTGAAGAGCTTGGGGGTATGTCTTCTACCGTTTGAACCCGTCGGTTTGTGATACTAATGTCGAGTTTGTAGTTTGATTCCATTCCTGTCAATGTTCAGCCTGTCACTCAACAGCAGACTGTTGAGCGCCCGGGAAGACGATTTGAGGGGGGCAGACCGCCAAGGACTTAAGAAGGGAACCATGTCTACGAGGTGATGGTGTATCGACTGAAATGGTTCTGCGTTGCTTGCATGGACATCGACGGGAAAGACATAGCTTGAATGCAAGATCTTCTACAACTAAGGTGTCGCTGAGCTTTCTTACGAGAGCGAGGCTTGATTGCCAGTGCCCTACCTCGTGATCTTATGAGCATACCTTGTCGGTGCTTTGATCAAGAGGCCGAGGCCCAAGACCTCCGCTCTTCATCTAAACCATGTACAAGTAAGGCAAGAACGTAAGCCGTAGTATGCAGAGCGAGTCTAAGATGCAATTGCACATCCCGATCACTCATAAATTTCGAAGATGTATTGCGCTTTAATATGAAAGTTCTGCTGGTGCGGCCATCAGCGGCATTCAGTGGGGTATCTTGAAAATTCATGTAGTGCAAGAATATTGCACGGTTCGACTCATCGACCATGCCGGTCCTCAAATGGTTGGCATCATATCTTCGTCTTCGTTATCATCGGATTCTGGCTCCCTCGTTTTCTTCCTCGAACTCTTTGGCGTATAGCCCTCGATCGAGTCAGAGCCGCCGTCGGAATTACGCTCTTTTACAGAAGGATCCGGAACAGATGCTTTGCCATTGATATTTCTGTTCTCACGGACGTCTATCTCTGCCAGTCCGAACGACCTGCTAGGGGCTTTTCCATCGCCCCTCTCAATCGCAAGCGCTTTCATCCTTGCCATGACTTCATCTTCCTCCAGGCCCATATCTAGAGATCTCAATTTCTCAATCAGGTTGGAGTCATCGTCAAGCTGTTTTTGATTATTTCGTTCGTCCTCCAGAAGCAGTATGTCCCCGCCGGAGGACCCAGCTCTCGTCCATGCAGGCTCCTCATTGAGTTGCACCTTGACATAAAGCGCTCTCTTCCCGCAATCATCTGAGCACCAGCGTTCAAGTGTATGTCGTTCGACGAATTTGAGTCTATCCGAGCCTCTTCCTTTGCCGTGTAGGATTCTATACTTCGCCTTCGTGTCTTCCTGCCTGTTGGGCCTAGGACAGAGTACGTAGCCGCATTGCTTGTTAATATTCCGCTCTTCGATTAGTGAATCATAATCTGATGGTTGGAAAGGCTTCAGGGAGTTCTTCACAAGTTTAATGTCTTGTAGACCCGGTAGAGCTGGGTCTGCGGCAGATGAGGAGGGTAGTTCAAGCAAAGCTTCAGTAGAAGCCAGGATCAGAGCCTCAACATCTTTGCGTTGCTGTAGAAGTTGGGCGTGGTAAAGGGCTGTTTCTTGGTTGCGATTCTCTCGAGATCGAGCTGGTGAAGGAGACGTGTTTGGGATCGAAGACAAGGCCTCTTTAAGGATGGAGTGAGGCATGATCTCTCTAGCTACTGGGTCCGGAGACTCTGTGAGGTCTCTGGTTCTTACCATTGAAAGTTGTAATGGTGAATTTGTCGGCAGTTCGTGGACTGCATGAATTGATATAGCGGCGTCCATATCTAAAAGCGGAGGGAGGCCCCGCGACGGATGTTGACGACGCCGACGGGTATGTACTCCTTGTACATGACATTAGACCGGCATACCGACATGGCCAGAGAGCCTACATGACCTTCATAGTTGTTGATATTTTCCATTATTCGTCTGTTTCCTGAAATTTCCCTGAGTACCTGCCAAAATTACCATCTCGACCAATTCATCGGGCCTGACACTATAGGCTTCTGGTCGGAGATCATCTCTAATAAATGTCGCCGTGATCAAAATCCAACAGCTTGAAATACAACTTGGGCCTGACCGCCTCACGCTGCAGCTTTGTATAGCAGATCGAGGAAGTGTACGGCTCACCAGCCAGAAATCCAGGTAGATTATACCCCCTCAACTACCGGTCCGTCAGCAAGGATGGCTATACCTCCCTTCCGCGTCAAAGCACTGTACGATTATTCTTCGAAGGAAGAAGATGACCTTAAATTTCCAAATGGTCAGGTCATACTCGTGACAGATGAGGAAGATGCCGACTGGTACTATGGGGAATATGAGGACAGTGCTGGCGACAAGCTGGAGGGATTGTTTCCCAAGAACTTCGTCAAGATTTTTGAGCCAGACATGCCGCCGCGGCCTACAAGATCGGGCAGATCAAAGAAAGACAACGATACTCCAGCACTAGTCAGTGAGGAGGCGAGGGTCCCCGCTGCTGAGGAACCTCGAGCAGTCCCAGCTCCTGCTCCATTTCCGAGTGCTATCATGCCCGAGCAGACTTTTGAGGAGCCCGAACCACCAGTATCTCAAGCTGCGAAAATAGAAACATACTCTATCCCAGCACAAAAGCCAGCTCCACTTGCAGCGCCGAAACCTGCGCCTGCGCCTGTCGCAGAAAAGCCAACGTCGGGCTCATTTCGAGACCGCATCAATGCCTTCAACAAATCTACAGCGCCCCCTCCGGCCCCCAATAAACCTAGTGGTTTGGGTGCGTCCGGGGGCTCGGGCTTCGTCAAGAAAGCTTTCGTTGCGCCTCCTCCAAGCAAGAATGCATACATTGCCCCACCTCGCGAACCCCCTCCGCAGAAAGTGTACAGAAGAGAGGAAGATCCCGAGATATTGGCTCAGGCATCGAACGACGTGGAGAACGAAGTGCAGGTACCTCAACCCCAAGTAGCTGCACCGGCAGAAGTCGAAGAAGACCAGCCGAAGCCCACAAGTCTAAAAGACAGAATTGCGTTACTGCAAAAACAACAGATGGAGCAAGCTGCACGACACGCAGAAGCCAGCCAAAAGAAAGAGAAGCCAAAGCGCCCCCCAAAGAAGCAAGTAGAGCCTCAAGAACCTGCTGCAGATGCAGACGATGATGTGGAAGCCGAACGTTTAGAGAGAACGAATAGTACCGAGACCACGGGCAAACGATCAGTCGAAGCCTCTCGCGATGCTTTTTCTTCAGGTGCACGCCATGCTAAGCCTTCCAAATCTCAGGAAGCTACTCCTGTGGCGAGCCCAACCGCTGTTGCCTCGCGAGGATTCATGAGCGATCCGAACGATGCCGACCAGTCTGGTATGGGAGATACAGAGGATGGTGAAGATCTTTCTACGGGTCGGGATGATAGCGATGATAATCCAAGGCGCAAGACTTCAATCCCGCTCCAGATACCTTCGCAAGCGCCGCTTCGAGAAGCAGACGTTGGGGACGAAGAGGACAACGCTGATGACGATGTCGCTGAGGAAGAGGAAGACGAGGACGTGGATCCGGAGGTAAAAAGAAGAATGGAGATTCGCGAGCGCATGGCCAAGATGAGCGGCGGTATGGGAATGGCAGGCATGTTTGGTCCACCAGGTGGCATGGCTCCTAGAGCCCCTGTGAAACGAGGGACGGCATCAAGCGAGAGAAACATTTCAGGCAACTCAGTGTCCGCGCAAGCTGATGATGGCTCGAACTCTAGAGCACCACCTGTGCCGATCATGCCTATGCCTAGCCTTCAAAAGGTTCGAAGCCCAGAGCAACATGGTGCTCAGCCAGAAGTAACTAAGGAAGAGGCGGACGAACCCAAATCTGTAATACAAGGACGAGAACCTGAGGATATGCCTGATATTGAGGATATAAAGGAGGAGCCCATCCCTACACCGAGGAGATCTGTGGAGCGACCTTCACCTCCACCTGTGCCCCAAGGTAAGCTCTCGCTTGTTGACGTGCTCTAGAATTTTCTGACGTCTTTCAGATCGCCCTGTTCCTGCTCCGCCCGGCAAAAGTAGAGGAGCTCCTCCTCCTTTGCCTAGCGAGCGACCGGTCCCGCCCCCCCCTAGCGAAGGTGAGTACTGTACATAAAGGCCATCACAAGGATCGATAGTTGACTCCTTCTATAGCGAGTCTCGTATCCAGACCCCCTCCAAGCCAGCCAATGTCGCCGAGCGAGGGTTCCGAGTCTGACGATGAGATGTCCTTACACAAAAGAAACTCGCTGAGATTACATCCTGGGACTGACAGCTCCCGACCTATTAGTCGAGAGGATCTTCCTCCCGTCCATTCTGCCGGTTCTCCGCCAACTTTGCCAAGTCGACATGTGGTGCCTCAATCTGGCCCATCTGACTATACAGGACGAAGTCCACCAACGCAATCAGTGGAGATGTCTCCTATATTACCAAAACCTCCTGCAGACCCTTCGAAGAGAAGCAGTCGAGTCCCACCTATACCAGGGTCGAATCCCGCAATGTCATCTGCACCTCAAAACCGAGCACCGCCGCCGCCACCTCCTACCAACGCTCCTCCGATGAGAGCTGCGACTGGAGATTCCAGAATTCCATCTTTGGTTCCCAGAACTCAAGCGCCCGAAGAGAGTGATGAAGAGGTTACTGAGTATGAAGGTGATTATGACACCGACATGGCCTCTGGTGCGACCCACAAGGATGCGCTCAAGTCGCACGCACGAGTCTCGAGTCTCGATGACGATTCGATGACGGAAGAAGCAAGTCTACACCATTCCGGACTTCCTTCTCTCGGCCCGACCCCACCAGCAATACCTCGTGCTGTTCCACCTCCGCCGCCCAGCCAGCCTTCGAGACACAATCGGCAGTCCTCCGATATGCCTAGAGGCGCGCCACCCCCACCCCCACCGCCCAAGGAGCAAACATATGAAGATGAAAACGATTATTACGACGCATACAAACCCCCTACGTCCGGACAACGTGGTGTGGATAGCAGGTACGAGATGGAAGGCCCAACAACACCAAGATTTGAAGAACCGGAAGCCATATTTCAGGCATCTCCACCTCAGCGGGCTGTGCCCGCGTTCTCAGGGCAAAGCACGTCACAGTACCCTTCTTCGCCCAACATGGCCGCCCCAGGGAGATCCGGGCCACGGCAGTCGACTGAAATTCAACGGACTAGCACTAGTATTCGGAGGTCAACCGATGCTTCTAGACCCTCTGGCGAACAAGGCTTTATAGCTGGGGACGCCGACCTGGGTCACAATAGCCAATGGTGGGCACGGCCTGATAATCCTCCTCCAATATTCCAGAATCGTCGAGATCTCATCTTCGAGATTGAAGAGACCAGCACGACGAGGCGAGGCGGCAAACAAGCTGTGACAAAGATGGTTTATATTCTATTCATGGACTATTCGCAAACCGTAATCACAGCGCAATTCGAAGCCAAGGATCCAGTAAACGCTATTTTGGAGCAACGTCACGAGCCCCCTCCTCAAAGTCTGCGGCAAGATCAACTCGAAAACGCTCACATGAGGCTCGGTTCTCGGATTGCAGAAGCCGCAAATGCCAAGAAAGAAACGACGGTTGGTGACGGCTCTCCCCATGCATTGGTCCTCGATCTTCTGTCTGCCCTTCCAGAAGCTCTACTGCCTGTTGGTGTGCGTGCATATGGTGCCAATGTCTATGCAAATCTGGCAAATGCTTCTGTAAGGCAACTTGATGAGATACGACCAGGGGACATCGTTACCTTCCGAAACGCTAAGTTTCAAGGCCACCGTGGGCCTATGCATTCGAAATACAGTGTTGAAGTAGGAAAGCCCGACCACGTCGGTGTGGTGATTGACTGGGATGGAACCAAGAAGAAAGTACGAGCTTGGGAGCAGGGTAGGGAGAGCAAGAAAGTCAAGCCGGAAAGCTTCAAGTTTGGTGACCTACGGAGTGGTGAAGTGAAGGTTTGGCGTGTCATGGCAAGAAATTGGGTTGGGTGGAATTGAGACCAGATCAACCATAAACCTCTATTACATAACTCGAACCAAGCCATTTGAGACGATTATATCTCGTTCAGCATAGCATGAAGTTATGGAAACATTGTTCCTCTCTACGCTCGTTGCTACCGTTGACGTGTCCCTCAAAGTACACTATGGTGCTACATTGAGCAGATATACACCGGCTCCCTGCCTCTTTCGATGAATGTCAACGGCTGGGTCTCATATGTCAATCGCTTTGCCACATCACCTACCGCCCATCAGAGCAGACAGGATTGCACAGCAAGTGGTCTGAGGCATGTTTTGGATGAGAAACCCGCACACTGAGCTTGCTCGATTTAGTTTCAGCTCCCGACGAGCCTTTTGGAGGAGATGCATCAAAGGGGTAAAAAGCCAAGCCACTGCACAACACAACGCCTGTGTCTTCCACACGATTATCTAAAAGCAAAAATGACCCTCTCCAACGGCTGCCTCTCCGTCTCCCAAGCCAACCAGTCACTCCTTGTCGTAGGGAGTAGCCCCATGCCATTCACCTTCCACACCCCCAATGCCAGCGCCACACAATTCATCAGCACGTAGCACGCCTTGACCACCCATAGCTGCTTCCTCGTCCCCTCGGATTCAAAGCGCCTGAACACTTCATTCGTTGTAAAGATGCCGGTGATCGGGTTTTTGAACAGCATGAAGACCATCATTATGCTGAAGATCTGCAGCGAGTTGCCGGACATGTACATCATGATTGCGTTCATGGGTAAGGCTTTGGCCGGCGCGAGGGCGAGTTCCCAGGACTTTTTCAGCTTGAGCGTGTCGGTTTCGGCGGTGCTGGGGGGTTTGCGGGCTGGGGTTTTGGACGAGGCGGCATTGCGCTGCGCATGTCGTTAGTCAAAGGTATGAGGAGATGGAATGAGAGCGGAAGGGTTGTACCTTGCCGCTGCTGGCTTCAGTGTAGCCTGGTGGATTGGTAACGTGGGTGTTGTTCGCTTTGCGCCGGGGAGGAGAGTTGAGGTTTATGACCCATTTGGGAGGTGGTGGTGGAAGATGTTTTGGTTGGGATTCTTGTGCCATGATGGCTGGTACTTGTTCGGATGAAGGATGAAGAGAAGACAGTGAATGCTTGGCGAGACTTGGGGTCATAGCAGTCATTTATGAATTGCAAATTAAATAAGAATGCTTGGCAAAGCTGATTCAGCTCCGCCTCCGACTTTTTGTTAGCGTTATTCATAGAAAATTGTAGAGAACGTACTTGCCACTCTTGCAATAGCCACTGTCGTCTGCTACCTCAGTTGGACATTCGTGATACCGAAGATAGTGGGTATACACGCTTTTTCTGGTGTTTTGCCTCTGACTTAGGCGTGTAATAGCCACATCGCCAGCCCTTGCTCCGGACGCGACGCCATCATTCAGAAAGGATCCCTCTGTACGCCAGCGTGCCCAACTCTTGCTCGAATCCCATTGGCGACCTGAAGCCGTTTCTGAAGCATGCAATCGATGTTAGTGGCTGTGATAGATTTGCGGTGGAGCATTTCAAGCAGAGCACTGCAGGCTATATATTTGACGGCGAAATTGAGGCATTTGAACGAGATTTGGAGCATTTGACTATGGAGATAACAGAGTAGTTACAATGAAATACTACGTAATATCAATCAAAATCCTCCACCTTCTCTATGACCTTCTCCCTGACCTAATCGTTCCAGAGCATAAGCATGCTGGTAAGTCGGAGTGGGCTGGTACAAGAGTGGCAAGTACGTTCTCTACAATTTTCTATGAATGGCGCTAACAAAAAGTCGGAGGCGGAGCTGAATCAGCTTTGCCAAGCATTCTTATTTAATTTGCAATTCATAAATCACCGGCATGAATTTGGATGAGCCTGTCAGCCCTACCCGCTACTGCCAAATAGGGAATTGATTGAGCATGTTCTGCTCGCTTGTGTTTCTGCGTCCTCCGTCTCATGCCGTTGAAATTCATAATCTGATGCTGCGCGAAGAGAACCCATTCCCATAATCTGGTTGATGGTTACATAAAGCTGGAAGACATATAGGAGTTATAAGATTGGATTTGCTGCACCTCCATTCCCCAAGGTGTTCACGATGGCCGCCAGCGGAGGAGATGCAAAACTGTTTGCAAGAGTAGGTGCTGTCAAGATGGTCCATATAATAATGATCAGGAACGGCTATACCTCTGTCGCTCTTTCCTTTGATGTTTACCTTTGATCTTTCTTCTGTCTGATTTCCGAAATGTGTCCGTCCCAAGTCACCACTCTACACATATTGTTTCCCCCCTCCTTCCATCCATAGCCATGTTCTTAGCCATCCACATAGGGAACGAGGCTCGATACGTGCCTCGCCCTGCCAATAGAACCGATTCTGCACCTTTGCTTAAAACGTCGCCGGATCTCGCTGACAAAATTTTCATCAAGGGGAAAGTTGCGGAGCTGCGATTGGAGCTCAACAGCGGTGGTAAGAAGGACAAGAACCACTCTGCTAAGAAGATCGCCCTCAAAAAGATCGTGGCCAACATGACCATGAGCAACAACGACATGGTAGCTCTGTTCCCTGATGTTGTTGGTTGTATGCAGATTCCAAGCTTGGAGATTAAGAAGATGTATGCGTCTAAACTTACTCGGACGAGCAATCATGGCGCTGACAAACTGTATAGGTGCTTTCTCTTTTTGGTCAATTATGCTCGCATAAAGCCAGACGTGGCTATGAAAGCTCTGCCTGTCCTTGTGCTCGTAAGCTCTACTTTCTAAGGCGCCAATGGTGCACGCTCTGACGAAAGCTGTCTAGGATATGGAGGACTCAAACCCACTGATACGAGCGCTCGCTCTCCGAACTATGTCTTATATTCATGTCCGCGAATTTGTCGAAGCTACTGTTCCACCTCTCAAAGGGCTGTTGAAAGACCCAGACCCTTATGTGCGGAAGACGGCAGCTTTTTGTGTAGCCAAGCTTTACGATCACGACAAGAACCTTGTGGAAGCATCAGACTTGATAGACAGACTTAATGGCATGCTAAGAGATGACAATCCCACCGTCGTTTCAAGCGCGCTGGCGGCGTTGATGGACATTTGGGAGAGGAGTGAGACCATCAAACTTACTATTGACTATGCCAGTGCTTCAAAGATCGTACAGATCTTGCCGGACTGCTCAGAGTATACTCTGCATTCCCTACCTGGTTTATCCGAAGCTAACGACGGTGCAGATGGGGCCAAACATATATATTAGAAGCTCTAATGTCATACGTACCGCAAGATACTTCCGAAGCACTTCTTCTGGCTGAAAGAGTCACTCCTCGACTTTCACATTCGAATTCAGCTGTTGTACTAACGTGTACCCGAGTCATCCTCTATCTCATGAACTACATCGCTGATGAGAAGCAAATATCTGGTCTGTGTCGGAAGCTGTCTCCACCACTGGTTACGCTGCTGGCGAAAGGGCCCGAGATCCAGTACCTCGCTTTACGAAACGCCTTATTGATACTTCAGCGGAGACCAGAAGTATTGAGGAACGATATTCGGGTCTTCTTTTGTAAATACAATGATCCCATCTATGTCAAGGTCACAAAGCTGGAATTGATCTTCATGTTGGCAACGGAGAAGAACATCCGAGAGGTTCTAACTGAGCTGCGAGAGTATGGATTCCCTACTCGAAAGTCTCACATTGCCTACCGCTGACATCTTCTGAGATACGCCACTGAGATCGACGTGCACTTTGTTCGAAAATCAGTACGCGCGATTGGCAAATTGGCCATCAAGATCGAGCCGGCAGCGCAAGACTGTATCGATTCACTTCTTGAGCTTGTGGCCACCAAGGTTTCCTACATTGTGCAAGAGGCGACAGTTGTAATAAAAAACATATTCAGGAAGTACCCGAACAGATATGAGTCCATCATTTCAATACTTTGCGAGAACCTAGACTCCCTCGACGAACCTGAGGCCAAGGCAGCCATGATCTGGGTGATAGGTGAATACGCTGATCGAATCGAGAATTCGGACGTTCTGCTGGATGATTTCCTCTATTCCTTTGCGGACGAATCGGTGGAGGTGCAGCTTGCATTGCTTACAGCCACTGTCAAACTTTTTATACAACGACCTACGAAGGGGCAAGACCTGGTGCCCAAGGTCCTGAAATGGGCGACTGAAGAGACTGACAATCCTGATCTCCGAGATCGCGGATATATGTATTGGCGATTGCTCTCTACAGATCCAACACTTGCAAAGCAGGTGGTCATGGGTCCTAAGCCGGCAATCACCGCCGAGTCAGAGAAGCTGGACCCTGCAACCCTGGAAGAAATGTGCCTTAACGTTGGTACGCTCGCCACCGTTTACCTTAAGCCCGTGCAACAGGTATTCCGAAATGCGCGACAAAGAAGGCTCATTGATAGTCCGGCTTTACAGAAGCATACTTTGCCCACCGTGATCGCGATGGAAGCACACAAGTCCTTACCTTCGGTCATGAACGGTTCTGAGCTACCACCTTCGACACGAAACGGAGGCGAGGCTAACAGAGCAAATCTCTCGGCTGCCATCGATGCTGCGGATGTCTACTTCCAGAGCCTTAATACTAACATGGGTTCTATGGAACTTGGAGGAGATGAGGGCTTTGGAGGCAGTCCCACGGCAGGCGCAGCTGGAGAACGACAGTACGTTGTAAATCAAAACAATCCTCAGCAGGTGTATCAGCCGCAGATCGGAGGAGAGAATGGTGATTTGCTGCTTCTGTAGCCCGATTCGGGTTTGACCGACCGACAAGAAATCCATGGCTAGAGCCGTCTGGATGCTTTACGTTCGAAGTTGAATTGTTCTGGTGGTCAAGAACACTTGTATGATTTGTTAAGAAACCCGGGACTCCATTGTCTACAATAACAGAGCAACTACTGGCCTTCTCTATCCAATCCTCTTCCCTACTGTCCCAGTACTTGATCCTCACATCTATCTTCATCACTTCTCCCCCTCTTTCATCAACTAGCTTGATACCGAGGTTTGGCTTCAATTTCTACCACTGGTGTCGGTGGATAAATTAGATGTCTACGGATCATGAATGCCAAGCGCCATACGGAGGTCTGCACCAAAAGTCCTGCACCATGCCAAGAAAAGGGCCCAGATGTCGGATATCGCCCCACCTCAAGGGTTGCCTGGACAATGCCCTTTGAATTGTGTCGGAATTGCACCTGACCTCAGCCTACTCTAGGGCTCAAGGACCCCATAGCGCCCACAAGGATGCCTAAAAATTGCGCTCCCGAAAAGCTGGTTCTAGGGTTCCTACTGCAGGGTAAGATTAGCCTTCCGAAAGTAGGGTTAGGGCTATCACTAGCGCGGGTGCAGATCTTTTGGTGCAGACCTCCGTACAGCGTACATTAGAGTACAGCGTACCGTAGATAAGGCCTAATGGCGCTAGGGCTCCTTAAAACCCTACCTAAGGTACTGGGACCCTGTATGACTGGACATGATTTTCAGTTAGGGATGACTTTTTGCCGGTAGCTCTCGTGGTTGAGTGGCAATTAGCACCACCCTAGTTCCAGAGCCAGCACGGTAGAGCTATGTTTCCATGCCGGAAATATAGAATATACCGGTATTTTCGGCGATAGTATCAAAAAGAAACGTCACTTGCATTAGCCCACTCACTACGAGTACCTTTTCCTTCAATATATAAAAAGCCTGGGGGCATCTATCTTCCAATCATGTATCAACGCAGTATTTTCTCATCGCTACCCTGGATACGGTCACTGAAGATTTCGTTCAGTAGGAAATCATCAGGAGAATGACACCCTCCGCACGCAATCCAAATGACGGTGTAATTGCCATTATCGAGGAAAAAACTCAGTCCTCAGAATCGAAACATGGAGATTTTGCTGCCGAATCAGTAGCTCCACAGGAGCTAGACGGGCATGTCATTGACAGCGAGGCAGTCCCACCTGCGGAAGATGCATCTGCCGAGAGAGCCACTGAGGACCTCGAAGCTCTGCATCAAGCACCCTCGGGACCAGCATACTCCGTTTTCAGCCATCGCCAGAGGACATTCATAGTCTTCATGGTGGCCTGTGCAGGCTTCTTCTCTCCATTATCGGCCAATATATACTTTCCGGCTCTTAACGCTTTATCGCGAGACCTCAAAGTCTCAAATGAGCTCATCAATCTGACCTTGACGTCTTATATGATCTTTCAGGGGCTGGCGCCTACGGTGTTTGGGGACTTGGCCGATATGACTGGCAGAAGACCCGCATATGTAATAGGGTTCATTATATACATTGGTAGGGGTTTGCACCCTCCAGTCCCATGGGTTCTTGCTGACGCCTCAGCTAGGCGCAAATATTGGGCTTGCTTTGCAGAACAATTACGCCGCTTTGCTTGTATTACGGTGCTTGCAGAGCACTGGTAGCAGTGGAACTGTGGCACTAGGCAATGGGGTTGTCGCAGACGTTTCTTCGAGTGGGGAGAGGGGCAAGTTTATGGGTACGTTTGTTTTCGTGTGGTTGCCCAGACAGTGACTGATCTTGCTTAGGAATCGCTCAATTCGGCCCTATGGCGGCGCCAGCTTTAGCCCCGGTCATTGGTGGAATCCTGACCCAATTCCTAGGCTGGAGGTGGCTTTTCTGGTTCTTGACGATCTTAGCTGTCGTTTACTTGATTCCTCTTCTCATTACTTTTCCGGAGACTGGTCGAAATGTCGTCGGCAATGGCTCAATTCCGCCTCCAGGGTGGAACATGTCTTTGCTCAACTACCTGAAAACTCGCAAGATTGAGCATAACGATGCTCTGAATCGGACCGTCTCGCGTCAAGAAATGAAAGCAGCGCAGGCGGAGCTCGCTAGAAAGAGAAAGCTCCGGTGGCCCAACCCCTTGAAGACTATTTATATAATTTTGGAGAAAGACGTTGGTCTGCTGTTGTTATATAATTCTTTGGTTTACACAGCGTTCTACGACGTAACCGCCAGCTTGCCTAGTCAATTTGCCGAAATCTACGGATTTAACGAGTTGCAAATCGGGTTCGTTCCCTTACCTCATAGGCAGCTTGTACATGTGCTAAAATTGTATCAGGTTAAGTTTTATTCCGTTTGGAGTTGGATGTTCAGTGTGAGTTATGTTCTCCGAGCCATTTGTTCCTGGTTCATACTGCATCAAAAGAGGCATTCTAACTCCGAAGGCGTGTAGAGCATCTATACTTTTTGGCCGCCTTATGGACATGAATTACAAGCGAGTAGCCAAAAGTGCTGGCTTCCGTATTGACATCAAAAGGGGCGACGACATGCGGAATTTTCCTCTCGAAAAGGCACGTATCCAGGTGTTTATAATCCCCCTTTATTTTGGTATCGCAGCGATTTTGTGCTGGGGATGGGTTCTCGAGCGGAATGCGCCCCTAGCCGCTCCACTAGTCCTATCGTTCATCATTGGTTTGTGTCTGACTGGATCATTCAACGTCATGAGTACAATGTTAGTCGATTTATACCCATTGAGCCCCGCGACGGCTACGGCAGCAAACAATTTGGTACGGTGTTTGATGGGCGCTGCTGGTACTGCTGTTATCATCCAAATGATTAACCGTATGGGAAGAGGGTGGTGCTTTACTTTCATTGCTGCGATAATTTTCTTCACCAGTCCTTTGTTGTGGGCTGAGCTGAAGTGGGGACCTAAGTGGAGAGAGCAAAGAAGGGTGAGGGTGGAGAAGCTAGAGGAAGAGAAGGAGGCAAGAAAGGCAGAAACTGAGATTGGTCAGGAAGATGTCATTTAAAGGATCAGTTACTATTTTTGGGCATTTGTACACACATAGCGTATCGTGTCTTTATATACCCTAGATTGAGCAAATTTTAGTCCTTTCACCTCCTTATATGTCGTCGGCTTGCCGGGGTGAAAGGAGGATAGAAATTTATTTGGAAGGCAATTCGACGAGATTGTTGCGTCACTCTATAGCCTCCGTCGACCAAGATCCAGTAGAGAGGGATGATGCGCTACATCTTCACTCCCTTCACCATCTTTGCTTTGGGATACTTGGGTAAGATATGTAGAAGGAGCGAGTGATGTTTGGAATCTGCAGACTACAAGATAATTTAAAGTCTTGCGCGCGCCTACTCACCGCCAAATATGTCCCCAAACTCGACCTCTTCACAAGGCAACAAACCTTTGACCAGATTATCCAACATCAAAGGCCATATCAATATGGAGGGGTGCAATCCTACCGTCTTCCACGATGACATCGTACCGCTGGCGCCAGAAGACCCGCTATTCGGGCTAATGGCTGCCTATAAAAAAGATGACTTTGATAAGAAGGTTGATTTGGGTATTGGAGCTTACCGTGACAACAACGCACAACCATGGGTACTTCCTGTTGTCAAGAAGGTAAGTCCTATCTAACGGCAGGGAGACCAGAATCTACTCGGGCTCACCATTCTCTCAGGCGGAGGAATTACTTCGCAAGGACCCCAAGCTCAATCACGAATATCTGCCAATCGCTGGTCTTGCCGACTTCACCGCGGCAGCACAAAAGCTCATCCTGGGAGCAGATAGCCCCGCCATAGAGGACAAGCGGGTACATCTCTGGACTCAACCTCCGCCAGCATTGGGCTAATTACGCTCGTCGCAGGTTGTGTCCCTACAAACTATTTCCGGGACCGGTGCTGTCCACCTAGGAGGCCTCTTCCTCGCACACTTCTACCCTCGAAACCCCAAACAGCTCTACTTCTCCTCTCCAACGTGGGCCAATCACAATCAGATCTTCTCCAACGTCAAGCTCCCAACCAAGTCATACCCCTATTTCTCACCTCTTACAAAGGGTCTCGACTTTGATGGCATGCGTTCTACGATTGAGAAAGCTCCTGAAGGCAGCATCATTCTTCTACATGCTTGTGCGCATAACCCTACTGGTGTTGATCCGACTCGAGATCAGTGGAAGGAAATTGCAAAGGTGATACGAGCAAAGAACCATTTCCCCTTCTTCGATTGCGCATACCAGGGCTTTGCGTCCGGTGACCTCGAGAATGACGCTTGGGCTGTCCGCTATTTCGTCTCCGAGGGATTCGAGCTCTGCATTGCCCAGTCCTTTGCCAAGAATTTCGGTCTTTACGCCGAACGGACTGGTGTTTTCCACTTTGTCACGGGCGCTGGTCCAGATGCTCAGCGCACGATCGCCCGCATAGGTTCTCAGCTCACCCTCCTACAACGCAGCGAGATCAGTAACCCACCTGCTTATGGGGCTCGCGTAGCCAGTCTTGTTCTGAACGACCCGGAGTTGTTCAAGGAATGGCAAGCCAATCTGCGGACTATGGCTGGCCGTATTATCGACATGCGAAAAGCATTAAGATCGAAGTTGGAGGAATTGAACGGGAAAGAGGGCAGCTGGAAGCATATCACGGATCAGATTGGCATGTTCAGCTTCACAGGCTTGACTGAGAAGCAGGCAGTGAAGGTCAAGGATGATGCACATGTCTACATGACGAAGAATGGGAGGATCAGTATGGCAGGGCTGAACACGGGCAATGTCGACTACACGGCCAAGGCCATCGATAAGGTCGTGAGGGAGACAGAGTAATGGCGGAAGTTCTTTCAAGATGAGACCGATCGGGAAGAGCTGCATATAGATGGAGTCGACTCCGGGTATCACTGCTCTCTGTCCATACAACGCTCCCCTTGCTCCATGAGTATAGATAGACCTTAAGCAATTGCACGCTCCTAGAATATCAAGTCCCATGTCACCAAGAACCCACACAATCCACAACTAGCCCAAAATACCATTCTGGCAGTACTCTTTCTCTCCGTTGCCTTTTTAAGCTCTTTGTTCCCACTACCAACGTTCTCCGTTGTAGAAAACGAGTCGGACACCAATTGAGATATATTGGCGGTCTGTACGTCAAGGTTCTGGACGAGGCTAGTTTGCAACTCGGAGATCTCAAGCATGGAACGTTCAGCTGTCCTGCGAAGTGATAGTGGGTTAGAATAGAATAACGAAGAAAGGGATGGAGAGTACCAACCGAACCTGATCCAACGTATCTTCATACTGCTTCAACATATCCTGATTCTCTCGCGCAAACAACTGCAGTTGTTCCGGACTCAACTGTTGCTCGATTTCCATCCGACTCTCATCCTCAACCATCCCTCCGCCACCCCTATACTCACTCTTTTCCTTCCCCGCACGCCCATCCATCCCCTCACCGCCACCTCCACTCATCCCAACCCCTTCCAAGCCTTCCCCAGCACCCACACTCCCTTTCACTTTATACAACACACTCCTTCCCCTCTCCACCTCTCTTTCCAGCCGCCTCTCCATCATGGCCCTCTGCACCTCCCCCACCCCTTCCAATTCCCTCCCTAGATACCACAACACGCTATCCCTATGCGTAGCAAGAACTTCCCTCCGCGCCTCTTCAACTACCTGCTCGGGGCTCTTATCCCCGCCGCTGGCTCCGGCCGCCCAGCGCCCTAGCACACCTTTGGCGTACTTTTTGGAAGAAATGCGTGACTCAGTGTCCCGGCGGATTTCTTCGGCGGAGGCAAGTTGCCGGATACTGGCGTTCAGGTCGCGGAGGACGGTTTTTGAACTCGCGTCTATGGCGTCACGGGCGGAGGCGGAGAGGTAGGTGGTTTCTTGCGAGGGGCCATTGCGGAGGCGTGAGGATGGGGGATGGGCGGCGCGGCGGGGTGGGGGGGAGGTCGAGAGGTAGGCTTGGCGGATCGAGAGGAGGTAGGTGTGTAGAGAGAGGATGTGGGAGTTCTAAGGAAGGGGGCTTAGTAGGATGGAAGGGTATTTGGGGGCATTTAGGGGAAGGGTACTATTCTGTATGCTTCTTTGAGGAATTCATCGCGGGTGGTGGAGCGGGTGAGAGGGTGCTGGTTGCAGTGGGTATTGTGTCTTTGGAGGAACTCGTTGAGGGTGGGGGTTATGTTGGACATTGAAGGTGTTTGCGAATTGCTGGCAACACTGGCATGGTTCTGCAGGAGAAGTGAAAAGCGAAGTAACCCTAGTCTAACCCTAAGTACATTATCTTATCTATCGGCAGCCCTTTAGGGCTTAGCTTGTCAGAACACTTAACGCGGCGGCCTTCGCGACTGCCCTGGGACGCGATTGTGCATTAAGTCGATTGAATCGTCAAATTCGAGTGTCCAAGCATAATAGGCCGATCAACATCGTCGCCGGTCTGGCTACTCATCCTATCTCGAGGCTGCGTATCTCTATACCTTCCTTCAGATCATTCTCTCCGCCACCCTCATTCTACCCCGTCCTGGCCTTCACCAAGTCTTTCCATCGTCGACGAGGCAGCATACAACATCAGATTCGTCCGATCACGGCGACGACTTACTTTCCTGAGCCAACTATGCCACCAAAACAAGCTACTTTGGGGTATGTCAAATCGGGGCAGCAGACCTTAGGGTGCATGCTCCTTGTTATCACCAATTCGCACACTCACTAATGCGTATCCGTCGGATTAGAAAGTTCTTCGCACGCCCTGCTGGCTCCTCACCAAAGCCTCAACAGTCGAAGCTGGCTTTTCAGAAGCCGCACACGACAAAGGCTGTCAAAGACGAGCATGAGGAAGTAGACGGGGTCGTGAAAGCAGAAGATCGTGAAGAAGCAGATGCTGTGAAAAATGATGCCTCCGATGAAGATATCAACATGGACAGCAGGTCTGAGGTGCATCAGTCAGCTATGGATACCAAGCAAGAAGACCCAGACATGAACGGCATGGAGAAAGTAAATTCTGCGCTAGCCAACGGCAAAGGTGAGTCGTCCATGTAGACTGTTCGCCTCGAGCCAAATCACTAACAGCAGGGCATTGAGTAGACCATACCGGCCATACCACAGCTGAAGTTTCGTCTCTGCCACGCAGATCGACCCCATTAAAACGTAGTAAGAATGAACTAGAAGACCCACAGGACGAGGACGAGGATGATGAAGAGCCGGTGAGAAAGCGTTCAAGGCGGGAGAATACTAGGGAACAATTTGGGCACGCAACAAGGCAACCAACAGCTGAAACCGACAAAGAACCTCCGAAGCCGAAGGCGAAAGCTGCTGCCCCGAAAGCTGCCCAAGCGAAGAATGAGTCGAGGCCATCATCCAAGAAAACAGAAAACACCTCCGAAACGGCAAAAGCTGCTGATGCAAACAAAGCAAAGGGGCCTCGGATAGAGACAGGACATGCTCCTGCAAAAGACGCCGGAAAAGAATCAGAAAATGATGTTTCTGACGAAGTTTCCTCAGAAGTAGAAGACGAAGAAGCCGAGTCTGACGAAGAGGACAAGCCTGAAGTCGCTGCTAAAGCTCGGGAGAAAGTCCAGTCAACACTCAAGAGCAGTGCAAAAGACCCCTATCCCAATTGGAAGCCCGGGGAGCCGGTCCCATATGCAGCATTATGTACTACTTTCTCATTGATCGAAATGACTACAAAACGGCTCATAATTTCAGCACACTGCTCTCTGTTTCTTCGTCAGGTCCTACGGCTTACACCTCAAGATCTCTTACCTACTGTGCAGCTCATGATCAATAAGCTTGCTGCTGATTATGCTGGCATTGAGCTTGGTATTGGAGAATCGCTGATCATGAAAGCTATTGGTGAGACCACCGGAAGGAGTTTGCAGGTCATTAAGGCCGACCAGAACGAGATCGGAGATCTAGGTCTTGTTGCCGCAAAGAGTCGCTCGAATCAGCCTACGATGTTCAAACCAAAACCTTTGACGGTACGAGAAGTTCTTAAAGGTCTGATGGGAATCGCTACAGTCTCAGGCGACGGCTCTCAAGGGAGAAAGATCGCTGGTATCAAAAAATTACTAGCTGCAGCGGACGCTTCATTGGCAGGCAAGCGCAGCAAAGGGATCGACATCACGAAGGACAAAGGCGGAGCGAGTGAAGCTAAATTCATAGTACGATTCTTGGAAGGCAAGTTGAGGCTCGGGCTAGCAGAGAGGACGGTACTTGTCGGTCTCGCGCACGCTATGGTCATTCACGAGACCGACAAGAAGGGGGACAAGCTACCAAGCAGCGAAAAGCTGGCGGAAGGAGAGGCAATTCTGAAGACAGTCTATAGGTGAGATGTAACAGGGGCGATGCTTTCCTCTGCTAATAGACTTCCAGCGAACTACCAAGTTACGAAGTCATCGTTCCTGCAATGGTTGAACACGGCATTTTCCACTTGCGCGACAACTGCAAACTACAGCCCGGTGTGCCCTTGAAGCCAATGTTAGCAAAACCTACGAAGTCTATCACCGAAGTCCTTGACCGGTTTGAAGGCAAGAACTTCACCTGTGAATATAAGTATGACGGAGAGCGCGCCCAGATTCACTACGTTGCTGGAGACTCGCCCCAACAATACACAAGCAGTGTGCCAGGGTCTGGTAAATCGGCCAAAGGTCTTTCTGCTATCTTCTCACGGAATTCGGAAGATCTTTCGAAGAAGTATCCTGACATTTTAGCGAAGCTAGACTCATGGATCAAAAAGAAGACCAAAAGCTTCGTACTGGACTGTGAGACCGTGGCATGGGATCTTGTCGAGAAGAAAGTTCTCCCGTTCCAGCAATTAATGACAAGAAAGCGCAAGGATGTCAAAGCCGAGGACGTAAAAGTCAAGGTCTGCGTCTTTGCCTTTGACATGCTCTTCTATAACGGAGAGGTGAGTCATGAGCTTCCCGTCCGTGAATGCTATGTGCTGATCATTGAAAGGCTATCGTCCAAAAGTCTCTGCGCGAGCGAAGAGAGCTTCTACATCAGGCTTTCCAGGAGGTCGAGGGCGAATTCTCTTTCGCCCAACATGGCAATACCGACAATCTCGAGGAGATCCAAACGCTGCTTGACGAGAGCGTCAAAGCATCCTGTGAAGGACTCATGGTCAAGATGCTTGATACCGACGAGAGTGGCTACGAGCCCAGTAAGCGAAGTCGTAATTGGCTCAAAGTGAAAAAGGACTACCTCTCCGGCATTGGCGATTCTCTGGATCTCGTCGTTCTGGGCGCATACTTTGGCAAGGGCAAGCGTACGTCAGTATATGGCGCTTTCCTGCTAGCTTGCTACAACTCCTCAAAAGAGTCTTACGAAACAGTCTGCAACATAGGCACCGGTTTTTCAGAAGCCATACTCGAAGAGCTTCATACGAAATTAAAGGACCACACCATTGACAGACCAAAACCCTTCTACTCACACAGCACGGTGGCCAAGGACCAGCCAGACGTCTGGTTTGAGCCGCGCTTCGTGTGGGAGGTTAAGACTGCAGACCTCACACTTAGCCCGAGGTACAAAGCTGGGGCCGATGCGCTGGGTGATAGTAGTCATAAGGGGATCAGCCTGAGGTTTCCGAGATTCATCAAGGAGAGAGATGATAAAAGGGCTGATGAGGCGACGGGGAGTAGGATGGTGGTTGAGATGTATCAGAAGCAGGAAAGCGTGGGTAAGAATAAAGGGCCGAGTGTTGATGACGATTTCGAGTACTGATATCGAATGCGTGATGGCGGAAGAGACGAAGTACGCTTATGGCTGTTCTAGCTATGTACGTATTAGTCGTTACATACCTTATACTTCCATTATCCACGATTATCCAAAGAAGCTTGCTTTATCCAAATACAACTGCATCCCAAATCTGTCCAAGAGTTTTTAGCCAGTACACCTATCCCAAGGTTCTTGGTAGGCCAATCCCATCCCCTCGAAAACCCTTCTCTCTGCTTCCTTCCAGTCCCGACACCTGGTCGTCCTATCTCCCCATCCCTCCAAGTCTACCCATTTCCCCGTACCTCTTTGGCGTACGCCACTACTGTCGAACTTCCAGCCCTTCACATGTTTCGCGTACCGTCTCAAATCCCTCTGGAACGTCGTCCCAGACGTCCATCCCGCTACTCCGCAGCCTACAGTACGCCACGGACTGATGATAATATCAACCCGGCGGTGCGGATTGGGATTCTTGGCTTTCGGGTTGGCTTTCAGATCGGCGGTTCTGGTGGGCCAGTTGGGATTCTGCCATACCAATAGAGCTTTGTCCAGGGTGTCAAAGCCGTGGCCACCAAGGGAGGCGCTGCTAATGGGTAGACTTGATAATTTCGGAGTCAGCATTACTCTTTTGGGAAAGGAACTTGAGTCGCGAGGCACGCCTTAGAAGCAGATAACTTTGAGACACGTCTGAGGACTCATAAGACAGCATGAATGGGGGAACATTGCCCCGGAAATGATAACATACGGTTCTTGATTGCGTTTGGTGTTTGTGAGATTCAAAGTCAGGGTGTGAGTGATCCAACCCTCTTTTTCTAGAGACTTAACCACTTTGTCAACGAGGTTGTAGGTCATTGCTTCGTTCTGGTGAGAGAGGATTAGGTCCACGTCTCCGCTGGAAGTTCTCCATTCAGTAACATCCTTTTCGAGTTCCAAATTGAGTTATAAGACAGTTACGGGAGTCATGGTACTCCCGCAACGTGTCTTGCCACCCAGATTCGGTTATAAAATAGGAAAAAAAGAGCTGGGGATTCTATTTACCATTCGGACTTGCCGCGTCGATACCCACCAACAATTATGGAAACAATGTCTTTGTCGGTGACCAGGCAGGCGTGTCTGGTGATGGTTTCTGCAATTGATTCTACCTCAGCGCGAGAGATTTTGAGCATCAATTCGTCATAGTATTTAAGACCAATCTGCTGGACACGAGACAGCGATTTCCACCCGTATTCTATGACGTCGTTGAGGTCTCGCCAGCCTTTGTCGTAGTAGAACTCTCGGGCTGTTTTGGCGCCCACACCCCAGATCTCGTAGAACTCGCGGAGGACTTTGAGGGCGGGGTCGGCTTCTAGGTCGGCAACTGCTTGGAGTTTGCCATTGCTGGCTTGGTATTCGTGGAAGAGGTGGGCAATCTTCTGGTCGCAGCTTACGCAAAGTTCGGAGTCAGCATTGCTTAGTCGAGGTAGGTAATGGAGTTGCAAGACAGGTCTCGGGGGTTAGAAAGGATGTCTTGCGGCTCAATTTGAATACCATATGGAAAAGATCAGCTCCAAAATGTACGTACCTGCGCACAATTCGGAGTCAGCGTTGCTTCTCAAAGGCAGAACTCAGACTCGCAAAGAGTCCTTGAGTGTTGTCAGTACAAAGAGCTGTTTGCTCGGAAGGCATGTCTTGCAACTCGGAAGTCGGCACTGAAAAGGAAGAAACCACTCAGAAATGTACGAACCTAGGTAGTGCAAGGATTTCTCGAGTGCTCTGAATTGGATAAGGGTATGCCGCAAGGGACGCAATGCTGCTGCTGTAAGCTCGAACGCCAATTTCATCCAGCGTCAATAGACGAGCTAGCTTGATCTCTTTTAACAAGCAAATGAACGCCTGGTTGGGGGATATCAGCGGCGTAGCTCGCTCACAGGCATAGATTTTCTTCTCTCGAACCCAATCTGGCATCCGTGGGAGGGCGCTGCTGGCTGCTTCATCGTGCTCCGAGGTTGTTTGATGCAGAAGGCGAGTAGGTCGTGTGATATGCTGCCTGGGTTGTTGGCTGGCAGCCTGAGTTGAAGACGAAAAGCTCTTGCCGACAAAGTCTTTGTTCGCGGCGGCTTCGATGCGATCCCGCTTTATGTACCGGTTGATTGATGGTTTGGGGTCGGCATTCGCGCGCTCGATGATTCCACTCGGATCTCCTTTCCTGATGTAATTACTCTTGTTGCCTGTAAAGGGTTTCAATCCATTGGCTTTCATAGTGGCTGGGCGATTCATTGCAGGCTCTTCAGGGGTAATAAGTGTTCCAGTGTATATCGTGTAGGATTCCAACGGAAGTACTTTCCCAGCGCTGAGTGATTCATTGAGCCAATCAAGTTTGATAACTTTCACTTTGTCGGTAAAAGACCCTAGGAAAATCGGTGGTGGAGGGATATCTTTTGCCGCCATAGAGTTCGGTGAGGACGCATCGGATGATGTGGACACTCGAGATAGAGAGAGCTGTGACATTGGCTTGGTGCTCGCATCTGCTTCGTCCGTTGTTTCGGAAGACGTGGATGAGTCGTCGATGACTAGGTCCACCTTTCGCTGTGAGAATTCATCACTCCTATCCCCAACTTTTCTCCGTTTCTTTGCCGGAGCTCTACCTTCTGGGCCTCGGGGAGAGGTAGGTTTTTCTGCGCTTGGTGTGTCCTCTGTGTCTTCTACACGAACCCCTTTCCATTGCAGCTCAGATTTGGCACGTCTCGCTTTGGAGATGTTTCCAAGGACGATGTTTGCTTCTTTGATATCATATGTCAGAGATGCACCACCATGACTCAGGGCATCTTCAGCTTCGTGTTGCTCCTTGATGGAAAGATGTGCTGCAAGCACATAGACAGAAGGCAAGCCGCTAAAATCGAGCTTAAGAACTGGATTATGCTCATCAGGGTCAATGGTGGCAATGGAGGACCGGCTGTCATCCATATCGCCTTGAGGTTTGAAATGCATCAAACAGCTGCTGGATTACGTCGAAATTATTTACGATATGAAAGTTACAACCTTGGAACATGTTGCGAGATGAGAATCGGTATTTTAAGAAAAAGGGGAAATGGAGAAAAGGACAACGAATGACAAGTGCACCGACGTTGGCTATATACTAGAGGAAAGAATCGAATGAAAGTGGAAATGAAATTGAAAAAACCGAATATTTACGAAAGTCTTGAGATTTAAAATGTCACTAGTACTTTACTGGACGTCATTCATCGGTATTTAAAATTTGTAGTATGTATATTTAGACTAGCTTCATCCGATATAGTGCTAAATATCTCAACCACCACAGAAGTCTTGGCTCCTGGCACCGCTTGAGAACAGAGGATAGTATTTGGAGGCAAAAACAGGGCCTGCTTAGCCATTGCAGATGACCGGCGCCTCATATTCAGTCGCGTGTACACACTGCTAAATTTCTGAATCACATCGTAAACCATGATCAATAGCAAGCCTGACTTCCCATCTCTCACGGGAGGCACATCTGTGCAACTCCTTCTACTACTGTCCGGCAAAGGAAGTCGCAATGGTCACAGCCAGTCTTTTACCAAAGAGAAGGGCAGGGCGAGGGAGAATGGAGGATCTCATGACCACGACCTTCCAGTCTCCTTCACCCAGAAATTCGCTTATCGTTCTCCCCTCCTGTTCTCATTCTGTCGTCCTTCACAAACCAGCCATGGGAGCCACACGAATTTAAATATGCGGAGAAAAGGGCGGTAGACAGTAGCAATCCCAATCTCGTCCGACTGGAGCACTTGTTGTGGAGGCGATACGAGATCTTCCCTGGAGTTTGGAAGTACAGGTACCGCATAGGGCACCACGATTGGCTGATTTTCGACCACCATGCTGAGGTAAGGGATTCCACATGCGGAGTCATGAGCACAAATTGATGTGCTTTTCGCAGAGATAGATACTTCAGGCGAAGAGTTCAATGTCCTCAGGGTCGAGAAAGAGGGCCCCGCAATCCTTCAGTCACCCGCAGTACTTTCGATCTTTGGGAGCGAGATATCCTCAAGCCAGGGGTCTCACCAAATATCATCTTTGGATTAGGTTCACTGTCCTGACAGAGTACCACGGATGGTCCCTTAGACCCTTTGGATGTCCGACATCGAAGGGGTTCCTCTCCATTTCCCCTCGGCGATTCCTTTTGGTTGTCAGCTGCCAATGTTGCAGAAGAAGGTTACGATCCATTTCGTAATCCCCAAATTGGATGAAGAGCAACAGTTGCTCGTTTACCAAACATGGAAGCGATCAAGCAGAGTTAGCGGTCTTTCGGGTGGCGAGGCCTCTGTTGAGTCCAAAGATCAGGAGTGCTTCTTTACGAGCTGTTTGCGAGAAACCCATAGCTTGGATCTGTATCCTCTTCACCAAGGTATCCAGTCAATTTCCCAACTCGTGACAAGAACAACATCGCCCAATTGGAAGGTTTCAGATGCTATGGGGACGTTGGACCTGCCTTAGTCGTTGTCCGGACTCTGAGAGATCAAAGAACTGTAGCGCTCAAGCAGCAATCAAACGAAGTGTGCGGGTTCAGACTTTAGTGGGGCGAAAAGTTGGTTGTGTTGTCTGATGAGGGTCATCGCGCCGCGGTGATAGACTCGTTAGCACCGATTTTCAAAATGTAAACAACAACATTGCCGCTCCTATTCACATCCTACCTCATCATTTTCTCATATCCTTTTTACACTTCGATAGTAACATTCTTCTATCACTGTAAACCTACAAGAGGCTTTGTCCATCTTCTTTCGGCCTCCTTTCCAGCCCGCAATTTTGATACAGCGAATTTCTCTCTCATGTTCCGAAGACTCCTTTCGTTTTAAGTCCCAAGCTTCTTTATGCAACATTTTTCGTCTACAGGTTGACCTGAAAGCTTTTGCGATGCCCGACCAGGATAAGCCCAGCGTGAAGCCACCAGGTGTCATACCGAGGAAACCTGTGGTGCCAGGTCCTAACTCATGGGCCCAGTCGCAACAGGAGCAGCAGCGATCCTCAAGCGGTGAGCAATCAGAGGTTGGACGAGTCACGAACAGGGATAAGTATGAACATAAGCCGATGCCGCCACCACCAGCAGACTCCTCGCCTCACAACAAACACCTACAGGCTAAGGCATACATAGAACCAGCTATACCTTTGGTGAATCCGGCACCAAAACTGCAGAGCCAGCAGAAGCGAGCAGTGACAGACCCAATCGCACCGAAGCCCCTATTCGCAGGCAGAAAGCTCAGTGTTGCTAAGCTACGCAAGAAGTACTCCTTTTCAAAAGCAGGAGACGATGTTCCGGTGGCCGAGGCGATGCCTACAGACCAATCCTCTCCCGCTGTTCGGCTCTCTTCTGAGAAAGCAGCAGAGGTCTTAGGACTGTATCCGCCCCCAGAGAACAAGCCTGATACGCCTCCAGCCTCCGCACTTCCAGCGCCAGTGCTTGACTCTTTCCGCCCATCATCTGACTCAGTAGAAAGAACGGCTAGCCCAGCGCGGCAAGTTCAATCAACACCTGTGCCTACGCGCCGCTACTTAAGAGAGAATGACCTACCAACGCCAACAACTACAGAGGCTCCCGTTGCTCCCAAACTGCAGGCGAACGAAGAACCACAGAGTCAGGACAAAGATCCAAAGAAAGCAGAAAACGGTGTGTCTACACCTGGAATGCTCCACCCTCCTAGACTTGGGAGATACGGCAATGTGGGCGAAGTCGGATTGGTGGAGTCAAATCGGATGCACAGGGTCGAGAGCTACAGAGGCGTTATAGAAAACGCAGAGTCTTCCGTGGGCAACAATGAACAGGTGTATGCGGGCTCGACGGGAGTCCTGTCGCAATCAAGCATGACTCAGGGTCTGAACACTGGAGATCTTCTGCCACCTGTTATCTACTCGCCAAGCAATTACGGCGGAGTCTGGGAGAACGATCCTGCTGTTGTCAGTATTTGAGGAAGCTCAATCCACAGATCGGTGAAATACTGACTATGTCCAGGGCTATTCACTTCCCCCTTTTAGCCCCATGCCGAACGGGCTCCCGCCGAGTAACGGGATAGACGGGAATGATCCGTCCGACAACTGTGGGATGCCTCTCATGCCTAACGAGCCTATGAATGGTTACAGCAATAGCAAACATACAGATTTTCATCCATTTGCAAGTTTCGAAGCAAACACAAATCAAAATCCAAACACAGATCGCTCATCGGAATTTTACCGTCCATTGCCGTCCGCCAACTCGTGGGTCTCCGGCAACTCCTTCACATCCACCAATGCGCCTTTGTCGGCTCTCTTGCCCCCTAGCTGGCCCAATCATCACAGCAGTAATTCCGTCCCATCACCACCTCACAACCAACATGATTACCAACGTCCGGGGTCAATGTCGGCTGCCATGGCTCGATTAGAGCTCACACTGCACCACCACATCGATAGCACCGCTGGGTCATTGTCAAGGTTGATCACTGATAAGCATGATAGAATCATGGACCAGACAATCAGGCGATTGGAGAATCTAGAGGAGACGGTGAGCAAAGGATTCCGTCATCTCAAAGCCGACTTCAAAGATATCAGGAAGGATATCGATGATTTGAAAGAGGAATTCAAGGATGTCGTGAAGGGCAGTGACAGTGTCCAGGAACTATTCAAAGGAATGGACGGAAAGCTCAAGGCATTGGAGAAGAGTGTCGAAAGGCACAGTTGCAACTGTCAGCTCGCCGTTGCAGAACGGAGCCCCAGTGAGCCTGAGAGCGAACCACAACAGGAAGCCGCATCGCATCGGCGAACTGAAAGTGCACATGGTGCTTTGGGTCACGGCGAGCAACGTCAACAATATCGAAGCGGTGCCAGTCGCTCGTCGACCAGCGCTCGTCAAAGCGGAAACAGTAACAGAGTTCATCGTTCCAATACAGTCAACAAGCAGCTCGGCAACAGGACGAGTGACGAAACTGATACAAGGAGGGAGTACTTTGCGGAGCTAGGAGCAGCTAGAGGTCCCATGCCAGATCTGAGGGATCACCCAGCATATTCAGGCATGCAACAGGACCAAAGCCAGATATACGGGCACGATCAACATAGCATACCATCAGTCTTACATGGCTTACCATATGAGCCCCCGTCTCTCAGTGACGGTCGCTGGTATCAGCAAGCTTATGGTCAGAATCAATAGATACGAAAGGCCTACGCGCAATACGAGCGGAGCGAGATACAGTGGTATGTTGAAGCTTTGAGAGGTGGATTTGAGAGTGATGATTCGATGTGGGAGGCCATGCTCCAGAATAAAGGACTTCAGTAGAAGGCTTGCAGTTAGGGTTCAACCTGCAAATGGTAGCTGGTGGTAACATAAACCACGTAAAGTACATTTGGCACTAGGTTAGTAAAAGCAGTAAATTACAGGGTTCGATTTTCCGACATCTCGAACACTATGGATATGTTTTCTACCTACTGCAATGGCATTTCCCCCAGAGCGTATCACCGTCAAGAGGCGTCGGGATGAGGATCCAGTTGAGGCTTTATGTGAGTGTCATCACTTGTAGAGGTCTTGCTCCCTGGCGTCTGGTTCGCTCACTAGCTTGGTGTAGTTATACAACAGAAGAAGCAGAGGCCCAGTGGTTTCTGGAAGTTGGTGGACGATGACAATGACACGCCTCAATATGCAGTACCTCTCTCCTCATCCAATGCTGTCAAAGAGACTCGGACTACCACGACTGCATTTCAATCACCCAGAGTACCCACCGTGAGGACTACTCTACCAAGTGAAGACTTCGATGAGTCAAACAACGCCATTCCTCGTTTCTCAAAGATTAAAAAGCCTAGAGCTGAAGCGTCTGCCATCATTGACAAGCGTCAGTTGCAATCTGAGATTACGCAACACAAGCAATCTCGCCAGAAACCCCAAGATATTCTTGCGTCCGCGTTGAGAGCACGAAAGTTCCATCTGGTCATAAATCCTTCGCCTATATCTTCGCCGCTTTCGGTTCCAAAGACTACCGCACAGAAGCATAGAAAGAACCGGAGGAAGGACCTTGCTATTTTCGTCGAGAGAACAGAAGTTATACGCGAAGCAAAGAAATCAGGCAGTGTTTCGAGACCTAGCAGTGGCGAACCAAGACATCTCGACTATATTGAAAAGAAGGACATATCGCAGCTTGAGAAGCCTCGTAAACGGCCAAACGCAACTGCTGCGGAGCGGAAGTGGAGGACTGAGACCTGGGCCAATCCCCCAAAGCCAAATGAAGTCACCGAAAATCTTACAAGAATAGCAGAAAACATCAACGAGCCGTCAAGTCAATGGAATTATGAGTCCACTGGGCTTGCCGAACAGCTGCAAGAGGTCGTTCTGGAGGAGATTCGTGCCAGCGAGGAACGGGCAAAAGGGCTCAGTGGTGGTGGAAAACTCAAGGTCGAGCCCAAGCCTCCAAAGCCTCGTCAACCTAGGACAGAGACATCGGCCGATGAACGCGGTGGGGATGATATCATGCTAGATACCATGAAACTCGACGACGATGGTGATTATGTGCTAGACATATACGTTCGGTCAAGTGCACAGCCTTTCCGAGTTATGGAGCCCAGCGAGTTGTATCATGATTCGTTGAATAGTATAGATCCCGGCAACATTGGAATCCTGGTGATTGAAGACGAAGAAGAAGAAGCACTCTGGGAGGCTTTCGCCGAGGATCAAGAAAGCGGCCCGGAATGGAATAGCGAAGAGGAAGATGAGAATGGTTTGTGGACCGACTCTCGAACGACAAGACTCACTGACGCGAAAAACAGCGGAAGATTATTATGGGAATGACTACCCCGAAGATGAGGTCAACTCTGACGACGAGTTCGGTAGAGGTGCTTACAATTATCGACATGCTGCTTCTGACGACGAGGAGTTTGGTTGGTCTGATGAAGAATAGCAGGCATAGCGTCCATAGTTGCTCCTCAGTCAGACTTTGGGGCACGAATATATTACTCTGACGATAACAGCATGCAATGACTGCAGACATTGAATAGGGAAAGCATCAGCTATCGAAATTCTATGACAGGAGGCACCTCAGCGCAAATCAGCAATTTCCTCTCACATGGCCTCTTCTGTTGATGACTGCATTCCCGCCATAAATAATTGCCGTGGCCACTTTCAAGGAAAGTACTTGAGACTACAATGCTAAACATATTCAAAGAACAAACGCTTTCGATGTTTCCCTCCAACTTCCACCGCCCCGAGGAGCAGAATGCTGATATGCGCTGGACCTGAATTATATAGCCACAAGGTTCTGGCTGTTGTCAGTCTGGTGGTTCAAGCACGGTGAAGGTGTGTCTTACATCAACGGCGCCTTTCGTCGCCAAGGATATGACCGTAGGCAGTACTGGCTGGGTGTCGGCCATCAAGCCAAGACCATGTCTCTCGCGTGTATCCAGTGGTCGCTGTCATCCCGTACCTTTGCACTGTATCTTGAGCGCTTCGCATCGCTCTCACATTCGGCAAGCCGTTGGCTTTTGTGATTCGATAAAATTTACATTCGAGTCCGGGGATCTTGCGTCCCCCTCCTCCATCCTGAGAGAATCGAGCATTGTAAGCGTCGGCGATGGCAGTCCAGGAATACCCACACTGGACAGATGTTTCGAAGTCAGCATTGCCTGTTCAAGAAGGGGTCCCGAGACAGTCTGAAGAGGGAAATCTCCCTAGACAGTGCAAGAGTAAAGTCGGGCCAGAATTTTATTGTGTCAGCAAATACGTACGTCAATACGAAGGTACCAAATGAAATACTCCTGTTCTTCGGTATAATCCGGCCGAGGGGAACGGGTCTGCAATGGGGGGTCCGGCGATCCTGAGCCCCTGCTTCTTTGTCCCCGTCTTGGTTGAGGACGAGAGCCTCCTCGAGACCTAGCAGATGCGCTGGCTCCGTGAGAGTGAGTTCCGGACCTAGGAGCTCTATTGCCTTGGAGAGAGCCTGGGTTTCTGGATACTGTTCTTCCAGCGTCGGATGACCTGGAAGACTGTGGCTGTTGATACCGTCTCGTGTCCTCGTCCGAAGGGTTCAACATGTCTTCAATGTTCATACTACGATGTCTTGACGTAGTGTCGGCATGGGCTGGAACAAGGCCTGGGTTTCGATTGCCACGAATGCGACCTTGGTTGTATGAGCCGGTGCGGTAGCCATTCGATCTTGGATCATCTGCCCCAGAATCATTCGACGTGTAGCCAGATCCTCGGCCACCAGAAGGCATGATGTAAGACGCTGGCGTAAAAGTGGGGATGCTGAAAGATGCCTCGAAGCTGGATCTAAAGCTTGGCAGGCTGGCGGTCATGCACGCGGGAAAGAGCACCTTTTAGCAAGCAGATCCACTCCTGTACCAAAGATGCAGCAGAGAAGCGAAGCGCTTGCAAAAGGACCAAGAGTCGCCTTAGCCAGGATCTGGGGCTTGCATGCAGGATCTAGGGTTGTATTTCCGGAGCTGTGCTTCAAGGCTGTGGGGGTGTCCACAGCAATGTCTGGTAAGGAATCTGGTTCGCTGAAACCAAAACAACTCCTACGAGTAGCAGGTGACGACGAAGGATCCCTGCCGACCACTTCAACGCGGTCACTTGCCGCAATTGTCGTTGGGGAAGCGGGACTCAGCGAAATTATCCGTCAGTCGAGCATAGAGTGGATAATTGTCCCTGGTGGGTCGCTAGCAAGGAGTCCAAGAATGATTGGACGAGAGGAATGGTCTACCAACAGATGCTCGGGTTAGTCACTGCGTTCTGTCGATTTCCTGCTGTGCTTCTACGCTCGTGAGCGCCTGTTTACCCTACTAAGCTATTGAGGGACCGGTGGAAGAAATGGCAGAAGGCGCAAGGATTCGAGGGGTCATTGACGAATATCTATAGATCTGGGTACAGCCCAGGTCAATTTTAGCCGGAATTTGATGCATGTTCGGCCAGTAAGGGAGCATGGAAAAGGGTGCAGAATGAGCGACTACTGGCCTCGGGAATGGCCAAACTCGGAGTCTCCGTCTTCTCATACGTCCAGCTCACATGTACGCGAGGGTTCACAGTCGTTGAAGCAATATCCAAACAAATATTCGACCCAAACAGGCTTAGCTCGAGTCTACCCACCCATCACTGTTAGATAGAGCAAGGATCCCAGGTGGACCTATTTCTGCAACTAATGAATAGTCAGACGCATTTCCTCAAGTAGTCCATACCTACTTATCCAATTGAGAACACGCGCCAACCACGGGAGCATGAGAGGAGGGTTTCATGTATCGTCTGTCGCCCATTGGATGCTACTGCGGTAATTTCCGCGCGACTCTTGTGCCAGCAATGCTGGCCAAACGGCCTGACAGGGCCTGTGCAGGTCTGCATGATTTGGAGAGACTGCCCGGCGGTGATAGGCTGGCAGGCATCTGCAGCCCCGCGTGCGCACGAGTTCCATGACTCCATGGCTGCATCGCATGGCTAGGTCACATCAGCGCCCACGTCTTTGATTTGACGTGTACCCAAACCCAAGGTTCAGGCGAAACAAGACAGCTGAGACCTTATCGGCCACACGAGTTCCCACTGCCAGGGGCATGTTAGCTGTCATGCTGTGTCCTCCTTATCTCTTTTCCCATTTCCCATTTTCGGTTTTCCCTTATAGCCTGCAGCAGAGAGATGGCCCAGTATAGCCACATAGTGTGCTCGGGATGATGATCGGGTTCAGCCCTCAGCTGTACCAACTTGGTCATCCTTTCCGACCTTCACGCATGTGTTGCATGGCGTTCACCGTGAGACTTTCCGTTTCATGTCGCAGATCTCAAGACGTCCCACTCCCACGCCGTGCCGTGTAGATCCTTTTACTTAGACTTAAGGATTTTGGCGCGCCGCCGCGAGATTTCACCGTTCCACTCATGTTGCTTCTCTACGCGCCCACATGGAAGCGTATGGAGGTAACTTGTGAGGAACAACCAACAATGATTTTTGATAATGTTCCTAAATTTATCGCGGCTTGGTCCATCGGAAGTTTTATCTTGACCGACGTTGGTCTAAGCCCCGTACTTGTGATACATGTTATATTGGAAATCCGCCCACGTCATCTTCTTCTCAATTCTATCTTCTCAATTCTATCTTCTCAATTCCACAGTCTGCGGCTGACGTCTCTCGACTCAACCATCTCACCCCGAGGGCGGGCATCGACCCTTGTGCACAGGACTACCGCCCTGAAGCCTGCTCAGGACGCTCATGCCGCTCCCGGCCTTCTGGCTCAGCCCGTGTGGCCCGTGTGCAAGCCATGTCAAGATGAAGGAGCCTTAAAGAAGTCGACCCCTTGCCGCATCTCCTCCTCTTCTCAATCCTTCAGCACTAAGAAAGGCAAAGGTAACCCTAATCCTTCCTGTCAGCTCTCAATGCACGTCAGAAAACAGGTTTGCGACCTTTCGGCTTGTTGCGCGCCTGGCCTATTGATCCCCTCTTTTCGCGTATCGCTCCTTTTCATCGTTCGCAATCCAGCGTTTGGCTGCATCACCCTGCATGTGTCATATGGGAGACTTCCGCACTATGGACATGACAGGGCTGATGGTGCTTCTATCCGAGCATCTCCTGCGACACGTTACGTTGCTTTCCATTCGCCCTCCCCCTGCTGCCGGTTCAACTTGGCAGGCAGCAAATGTGCAGCATCTACCTGCAACGCACCACGAGAGGGAGGATGTCCCGGTGACGTATCATATGATCCTTCAGAATCAGCAACTCTCGAGTCATTTGCGGGATGAGGGGAGCTATTGCGTTATCGTACTTGAATTCATGTACCTAAGCGCCGCAGGACGCAATGAGTCAATGGGCCAATGGCCAATGAGGAAATTTGTGGCGCCGCGTAGCCGCAGTTTTTTGGAAGAATTATACTTTTATGGCTGACGAAACGCAAACGAAACGCAAAGGAAACGGTGTCATGCAGTCCTGACAGGCTGACAGCCAGCAAGAAAATGTAAAGGAATGGAAGGAATGCAAGGATCATGATTTGGCCCATCCCTCGGCTCCACTCCCCCCTCCTTTTCCCCCCCCATCCTTTCGGTGTGGAAAAGTTAGAAAGCATGCACCAAGGACCGAGGTGCATGAGGTGTGCTACCACAAACCACGTGGGCTTGCACATCTTCTGCAAACATGTCGTTCGGGCTTGAGAGAGAAACGCCGAAAAGGCAAAAAAAGGTAAAAGAAAAGTAAAAGTTATTGGCTGTCGAAAAAAAAAGGAAACAAAAATTGATGAAAATTGATTTGGTGGTGGGTCAGCCACGTGCCAGGAATCTCTGGCAAGCATTTTGACTGGTCGATTGGTGGGTCTGGGGCTGACCCTGGCTCCTTCTTGTTATTACTTTATTGTTTTTGTTGTTGTTGTTGTTGCAATTCCTTGCCGTGGCGAGTTTTGCTTTTCTATCCTGGCGATTCCAAATACAACATGTGCTCTTTGGCTGCTCCCCTTGCCAACACTATTGATGGCGTCGAGTAGGCAGCAGCGGCGAGACTCTTCGGTCGAACCAGGCATACGGTACCGATAGCGTAGATGGGCCCAAGCCTGTTTCGTCTGCCTTTGCGTCCTTGGTCGATAGTTGGTTCGGTAACAGTCGAGGAGGCCCGGCCCATCCGTACTCTTTCTTCAGCTTACAAGGTGCGAACTTCTTCAGGGACGTGTTGCATGTTAGATGGATATTTAGATGGGAACTTTTCAACGCATCTATCTGGTCATGACGTTCTAGAGGGCATGGATTCCGCTTGATGGATCATCATCAGTTGGAAGTCAAATCTTGCTTGTTGGCTTGCATCTATCTGAGTTTACCGCAGTCCGAACGTGGAGTTCCCGTCGTGCCTGTAGAGTAGGGCGCCGGCATGCGAAAAACCATTGAAAGGAATTTGCCTCCTTTCACCTATGCTCAACTTCCTATCGTACATTGGTAAAAGCACTGGTGATTTGATTATCACTTCTCCACTTTGCTCAACAACTGGCCGCATTCGTAAATTGATCACTCTCATCACAAACATTGCTAGGTGTAACGGCAACGGCGATTAGCCGTCGAAGTGCACCCCGACAGCGATAGCACACCTGTTTCAATAAGTCAGCCCTCGGTTCTGAAGTGAGAGAAGGAGTGCACCCACGGGTCTGCGGCGTAATGGATATTGCAGTGCTCCCATTCCTCATCCCGGGAAAGTGCTGCTCTGAATTGGACTGCGTCCTCGACTTTACAGAAGCGGAACACGACCGAACGTGCCTGCCGCAATGATTTCAGTACTGTAGTGGGAAGGGACCAATGTGGGTACTCACACCGCCGGGATTTTGCCCGTCAACAATCTTTTCCACCTTTCGATTCTTTCTCTCCGCGATCTTTACAAGTCCGTCCATGTCCCACTCCGCCTCGACCCCCACGGCACGTACACAGCGCGTAACCCCGGAAACGATCCACCCCTGCAGCAAGCCACCGACGACATCGACATCTGGGGAGAGCTCGACAAATAGAACAAGCTCGCGGCCTTTGGCATCTTTCTGGTAGACGAGGCCATTGGAGGTCTCCTCGTAGAATCTCATGCAGTCTCCTGCGTCCATGAACCGGATGGCTGCTGAGAGATCTCCAGCGGCGGAAGAGCGAACGTGGATCTCTTCGATGGGTCCACCGTACACAAGCGACGCTACGAAGGTAGCTGTCGAGCCACGAGGGAGGTCTTTGATGATGACCTTGCGTACCTTGGCGGCTGCTTGCGGGTTAGCGACCACTGGAAGGGAAGAGCTGTGGGAGCACACACCAGGTTTACTCCTCTCCTCCAGCTCTGGCCAGGCGTTGAAGAACGTCTTGTGCTCAAGATTCTCACTCTCGGATGCACCTTTCAGGGGCTTCGCACCCACTGGACCGGTGATGACCTGGGGTTCAACGCCCGTGGTAGCAGCTCGAACGGCATCCTTGACGGTGTTAGAGTCAGCGGCTTTGCTCGTCACATCCGGGGAAAGCCCCCCAGGGCATGGCGCGGTCGTCTCAGCCTCGACAGTGGACTCGGAGGGAGCAGGGTTCTGATCTGAAGATGGAGCTGTCGGTGATGACTTTGAGGGACTGAATTCGTCTGCTTTCTGGGCAGGGACCCGTGTACTGAAATCAGACTTCTGGCTAGAATCCCGCACTGTCCGTAAGTGAGGCGGTAGGTAAGCCTTGGATGTTGAGTGTGCGTCGTTCTCTTTCTCGACCACGTCAGTGTGAGCTGGGGATTCGAAGGCCTCGTCGCTCGCCGCTTCGGGCTTTACAAGAACATCATCTACCTTATCTTCAGGGATCTTTTCCACCAGAAGTGAGGACTTGTTGACTGACGAAGGCGATGTCTTGGAGAAGAGAGATTGTGTAACGTGGTCACCAATCAAGTTCTCGCCGACTTTGTGGTTGGGGTCAGCGGCTTTGAAGGACATCCTATGGAAAGTATCGTTCATAGCTGGGTTGGGTTCAATGGCGTTGATAGATGTTAGGACCTTCGTAGCAGGTGCTCCCCTAGGCATCGAAGGCTTATAACGTGCAGATGGCGGAGCCCACATGGATTCGCTCAAAGGACGGCCATGCATGTTGTTCACATAGTCGGAGAAAGCGTCGGCGACGTCTTGGTTGTGATTGTTAACGGCTGGCAGGCGTGGGCTCGACGCTGCAGTTTTTGGTGTGTTATACGGGGCTGTAAGGCCACTGATATGAGGGCTTGGTTTAGGGTGGGGATCTGGTGATGTTTGGTCGGAGTGATTCTGAGCGGCGACTCTAGCATGTGGAGCGGTTTTCGCATCTTCTCCTTGGGACTTGTTGCCCTCAGAGATATGCTTACCGTCAGCGACAGTATCAGCGCTTGGGCCGTGTCCGTTGGCTAGTTGATCAGGTTGATCAGGTTGGTCATGTTGAGTAGGCTGGCCCTTCATTTGCGAGATGAAGCGCCGAAGACTCTCAGCGTCGTCCAAGGCCATGCTGGAATTTGTGATGATGGCAGTGTCCTAGTAGGAAGAAATTTCACGGCGAGCACTGGGTACTTGATGAGTGATGGAAGATGGAAGACGGAAGATGGAAGACGGAAGGTGGAAATGGGAAGGTGAAAGGTGAAAGGTGGAATGGTGTGATTGTGTTGGTGTTGTGGATTCATGAGGTTGATGGCAGTGAATGGATACAATTAGCGCGTTCGTTGTTATCCTTTTCCCGTAGCAGCAATGGTTACGGGGGATCTTTTTAAAATGGTCATCAACATTCACATAGTACTTTAGCAATCATGCAAATGATTCTTGTCAAAAGGGTATATCAACGCCCCGATCGCTATGCAAGGTACGAATCGGAATCTCTCACCCATCTATTCATCCCGGAGGTACAGGCATGGTCTCCCAGTTCTTCTCCCCATCCCGTTGACTCTCCTTGATGAGCTGTAACGTCCTCATTCCACAGTAACCACCTCGTGTAGCTTCCCTAGACTCCTTCTGGAACGATCCACCTGCTTTCAGGCTCTTGTCCTCTACCCACACCTTCTCCTCTACTTGTGACCCTGCTACCTCGGTCCGGCGTGGATTGAACCAAGGAAGTCCGACTAGATGATTTATGACATTGTGCGGAATTGTAAAGAGGCGCTCCACACGTTGAACTTTTCGAATCCAAGGCAGAGTCGTATTACTGTATGCAACGCGGATGAATGGATTCATGTACACACCCACGTAGTCGCCGTCTGCACCGAAAGTACTCTGATCCAAGAGATCTGCATGGATCAAACAGCATTCAGATGCATCCCAATAGGTATCAGGCGTTGCTCGAAATCGTAGTGGTGGATTAGCTTGGAAAGGTTTGGCATCAAAAGCTACCATCCCTCCCCAACAGCTCTTGACCCTTACGGCATCCTTGCCTGCAAGTACATCTCGTCGGCTACTGCCACTGCCAGCGTTTGTAAACCACGGAAAGAAGGGGACACCCATGCTGTAACCTTCCAGGTCTCGAGTAGCAAAAGTGTCGTAGAATTTGAAAGGATTTATAAAATCCACGGCGCAAGCAGCACGATAGGCAGTATTGCCGTGCTCGTCCATATTGGTTGATAGGAGCAGCTGAGCAGCTGCTATGGGATCAAACGCGACATCGTTCAGATACAACAGCTTGTCATACTTGATTTCAGGATGTTCGACCAAAGGCAAAAGAGCTCTGTTGCGGACTTCTGCCAAGTAGGCGATACGCTTGGTCCGTTCAGACCCATCGGGAAGCCTGATACGCTGAAGCTCTTCAAGGGGCGGCGAATCTTCGAGAACCATACTGTGCTGACATTGGACCCTCCTCTCGAACTTGAATTGAGCAACCTGGCCGCCTTCACCACTGGTGTTCTCATAAATGCTTAAGAACACATTTCTATTGCCAAGTATATTGATGAGCTTCAGCACCGCTTCCCCCCATGCTCCCCCAAGAAGATGGCCACCTTCATCGTATATGCTAGCAGCGATGAAGATCTTTTGATTCTCTGGATTTGCGCGCCCATAATCTTCGGAGCCTTCAATCCGTGCTTTCAAAGACTGGTAATGAGCCGGTGGTTTTGTGTATGAAGGCTCTGAAAAGAGCGCAGTGAATAAGACCAGCGCCAGGAGAATGCCAACAAAGGCATAGCAGCTGCAAAATGATCGGAGAGAGGGTCTGTGAAAGGCTAGCCTAGGGCGATGCGGAAGTTTGGAATGCGTTCGCGAATGCGCATTTCGAACGAAGATACTTTGAAGGCGTAGAGGATTGATCGAAGAGAGTACTTTCCAAGTGACAGACGTCGGTCGATTAATGTAGGAAGGACTTGTCTGTCCTCGCGACTGGAAGTCGGCTTCGTCTAAATCGAAGAAGAGTTGCGACTGAAAGTCGGCTTCATCGTAAATATCATCAGAGTCATACGAGTCGCGGCCAGCGAGCTCATACTCATCAGAGTAGACTGGGCGCTGCGGCATACCGAATCATCATGTGTGTCTCCCTAAGAGAATAGCCAGAGGGCCAAATGAAAGGTGGTCAACGCAAATGGAGTCGTCGTGGCCTGAAAGCATGACCAAGTCTTGGCAGCGGATTTTAGTGACTCACTTTCCCGAAAGTTCAATCCAATGATGAGTCTCAAGAATATTATTACTCTACCCTTATACGCTTTCCTTCAAACTATTGACTGCGCACAATATGGCTACCGCCGGTGGAAAGATACATGTCGATGAAGACATTGGCAAAGATGATCCTTCAGCAGACGGTTCAGAGACATCGCCGTACAAAAGCCTTCTATTCGCGCATATACAACACCCACCATCCCAAAAAGATGGCCCGCAGTATCTTACACGCAAGTCTGAAACTGGACCTGTCAGCGAGGATGGCGATCCTGAAGCTCGTAAGGAGTGGAAGCCAGCTACAAAGTCCGCCCTGAAGAAATGCAGCAATCTGTATGAACAGCACAAGAGAAAGCAAGCCAAAGGCAATGACTTGGCTGTACGAGAGAAGTCGGAACAGGAAAAGAGACAACGAGCGCTGCAAGAAGCAATGGAAGTCCGGATTAAAGAGGACCCTCAGCTGCCAAAGGCGTTCAAGATACGACTCAACGAGAAAGATCCAGCGCTCGTGAAGCTGAGGAAGGGCACCAGCGAAAAGGATGTGGACTACGCGGAGGGTCGAGGCTCGAGAGTAAAAGTCACAGGGCGTGTGCACAGATTCCGTACGCAAAAGGATGTCATTTTCATTACGCTCCAAGATGGATACGGCTTTCTCCAGTGCGTCCTCACGGGCGACTTGACCAAGACATACGACGCATTGACACTCACTCAAGAGACGTCCATGGAGGTCTACGGCGAGATGTGGGAGGTGCCTCCAGGACAGCACGCACCAGACGACCGAGAGCTCCACGCCGACTACTATGAAATAATCGGCAAAGCCGCTGGCGAAAAAGAAGCTATAACCACCCGCGCAGCCCCAGATGCTGACCCACAAACCCTTCTGGACAACCGCCACCTTGTCCTTCGTGGCGAGATCTCATCTTCCGTCATGAGAGTCCGTGCCGCTCTCCTCCGTGCCTATCGTCACACCTATGAATATGAAATCATCCCCAGCTGCCTCGAAGTTACTCCCCCTTGCATGGTACAAACCCAAGTTGAAGGCGGCGCTACCCTCTTTGAGTTTAACTACTACGGCGAGAAAGCGTACCTCACCCAATCTTCACAACTCTATCTCGAGACCTGCCTGCCCTCTCTCGGTAACGTTTTCTGCGTTGCGCCATCTTTCCGTGCAGAGAAATCTTCTACTCGTCGCCATCTTTCCGAATATACACACATAGAGGCCGAACTCGATTTCATCTCTTTCGACGATCTTCTTGTTCATCTCGAGCTCGTGATGAGCCTGGTCGTCCAGCATGCTCTTGCAGATCCGAAGATCAGCAAGCTTGTGTACGACCTCAACCCTCAATTCACAGTCCCAGAGAGGCCATTCATGCGCATGAGATACGCTGATGCTATCACCTGGCTGCGCGAGCATGACATTAAGAATGAAGAGGGCCAGCCACATGAATTTGGCGATGACATTGCCGAGGCCGCGGAGCGCAGGATGACCGATATCATCAACCGCCCCATATTCCTAACCCATTTCCCCGTCGCTATCAAAGCCTTTTACATGAAGAAAGATCCCCAGGACTTGAGAGTGACCGAGAGCGTGGACTGTTTGATGCCGGGCGTCGGAGAAATACTCGGTGGAAGTATGCGCATGGATGATTACGAAGAGCTGATGGCTGCGTACCAGAGAGAGGGTATTGATCCGAAGCCTTATTATTGGTACACGGATCAGAGAAAGTGAGTCCTTGAGCTTTTCTGACCGCGCAGCTTTTCGGACATGCTGAACATGTACATAGGTACGGCACATCTCCCCATGGCGGCTACGGCTTGGGCCTCGAGCGTTTTCTGGCTTGGATGTGCGGTCGACACACGGTGCGGGAGTGTTGTCTTTATCCTCGATTCACCGGCCGCTGCACACCATGAGTTGCGCTAAGGTATAAGGAATGTGCTTGGTTTGTCTCCCCTCGATTGACACACCGCTGCACACCGTCATAGAAAGGAGATTCATGCTTGGTGTGTGTTACGGTAGATGAGGCAGGCTATCGATGGCTTTAGCGCGAGCATTACGAGCCATGCAGATTTCTAGACGAGATACCACTTAGACCAGCAAGCGATTGATATCGAGAGACATTCTATTCTTGAATGAATAGACTTCCCCAGATGCTACTATTGTTCTGACATTATCTATCTTCAGGAACAGGAACTCATTGCAGGCATGATGCAAAGCAAATGCAAGCGACCGTGGGTATCTTCCCTGACACCTCTGCGCCCTTAACATCCCAGATCATTCTCTTCAAGACATGATGAAGGCTTAATCCCATTACCCCTGTATCTCAAGCCTTTATGCATTCCCAGCGCTGGCCACACTTGCCTTCCTCACAGGCGCCACCGCTGTACTTCCACCAGCTGCTCTCCCCTGCGCCTGCTGAGCCAGACTCGGTTTCCTCGACGGCCCCTCCCCAGTCATGTTTTCGCCACCAGCACCCACCGCCGGAGGACCCGGCATGGCGCCATCAGAGACCCCCTGCTCCCTATTCCCACCCCCAAACAACCCCCCTCCTCCCGACCCCCTGGACCCCAAGGCATTCCCTAACATCTCCTTCATCCGAATATGCTTATACTTCATCGCAGTCGGCACAAAGACGTGCTGGTCCAACGGCATCGGCCTCACCCTCGCAATCGCAGCCATCACCGTATCCTTCTCCTCATCACTATCGACCGGCCCCTCCGGCGGCCCATCGTCCAGCAGCGGCGCCTTCGCCTCCAATGCCGCTTTTTGAATCTTCGCCTGGTTCTGCTTCTGATACATAGCCAGCAGCTGATCGTATGGTAGACTGCGGCCAGGGACTGAACGTTTGGCGCCCATGCTGTGGGATTTGCAGGTTAGAGAGCGAGCGCAGCAACCGCCGTTCGGTAGCATGACGCCGCATTGCCGCTCGACATTTACGGGTCCTTTGGGTTTGGGGAGCTTGGGCTTAGGAGGCTCGTCTTTTTTGAGTTTCTTTTTCTTAGGCTCTTTGTCGCCTTCGCCGTCTGCTTTCCGCTTCTTGGATTTCTTGGGACCGTCGACAGAGGCTTTGGAGGCAGACTTCTTGGGTGGCTTTTTGGTGGACCCGCTGCCGCCTTCCCCCGCTTCGAGATCACGTTGGCCGGCCGTTATGGATTCGCCCATCACGGAGTCACCGTCTTTGTCTTTCTCTTCGGCGGCTTCCTTCGCTTTGGCATCCTTGGCCTTGGCTTCTTTTGCTTCCTTCTTCTTACGATTTGTCTCTTTCCTCTTATCGCATAGTTGGGCATGAGAAGCGACGGCGGACTCGGGCAAAGGTTTCTTGCAGTAGTAGCACTTGGCGAGGCCTTGAATGTCTCCAGCTTTCGATCCGGTGCCATTTACGGCTGGGGAATCTGGAGAAGGACTTCGAGTATTGCCACCTGTCTTCGTCCCTGGTGAAACATTTTTAGAGAAGCAATGGTTCGATAAAAGGTGCACTGATCTGGTCGCGACTCACCATTGCTCTCAGTATCCTTGGGTTTTGTTTTCTTCGCAATCGACTTCTTCAACTTCACTCCTCCAGTGGATTTATCCTTCTTGAGTACCGAATTCTTGCCGGCAGCTAGGTCTACCAAGCTCACTTCGGAGCTCGAAGCTATGGATGCTGTGCATTCACTGTGAGCTATTCTCTGGGGATCATCTAGGTGACGCTTGCACATACCTCTGCGGCTGGGCTCCGTAGAAGCCATTCCGATGAAGAGTGATCGTAAACTTAGGACAGGGGATTTGTAGGTAATCTATGCGCCAGCAACACCGCTCTGCATGCTGGGCGAATTATTCACAAGGTGGAAGGGAAGACGTGCAACAAGGTCCCCTCGGTCAACTTTGATATGAGTAGGGCTGAGATACCGGATCATCATCGGCCCGATATTGACGAAGATAAAGTACCGAAGGAGGGCGCTTTAGCGCGCATGCTCTCAAACCACGAGGATTTGTTTTCTCATGAATTACTTCAAGATAATGATATCAAGCATTTACAGAGTAAGGCAAGCTAATTGCAAAAGAAACCCAAGTGAGACGCCAAGCATTGTCAATCCTGTCTTTCCCCAGCTCCGTGCAACGCTAGATACCATTGATGATGCGGGAAATGATGCATGCCTGCAATTGAGCCAGAAATGTCGAAAGACGTTATTGCCTGTGTGAGCGACGGCTTTTAGCCAATCTCCATCGCGATGGATTGATCATACTGTGCGGCATCCTAATTTCGTGATGAGCAAAGGCCCGCCCGTGCCTATGGAGCTTCTGTACTTGTCTCTCAAGAAGCTGATTAGAAGTTGTATCGGGTCCCTTGACGAGTTGGCACCTTGCCTTGACGATTAGTGGCGCGTGTTTGCCGGGGCTCCTCCTCCTCGACGATGAGAGCTTTCTTTTGAGCTACTCCCTTTTGCTTCTTGTATGCTGGCGGCTTTGGTTCCGAGTGAAGGTGGCCGATCTCGGTGATGGCAGTGTTGTTCTTCCACGCTAAGCATCGGTGGCCGGTTGAGTCTACATATGTCTTGGTGCGCGTTGATACTCTCGTCGTAGGCTCGCTGGCTTCGGACTTCTTCTCGTCCATGCTCAAATACTCATGACGTTTCGTCATGTGAAGGCAGATCTTTTCTCTCTGGGCTTGAAGTTCCTTGCGAAGTTTGAGTTCGCGTACCCCGCGAACATCGAGCCATCCGATGAGCATATCGAAACGGTCGGGGTCGTCGTAATAGCCCCACTGTCTGGCGGTGAAGGTATGAGTATCGCCCTCCTCAATCATCTTTCGTTCTGGTACTGTCATCTGGAACGCTCGCCGGTATTGCTCGTTCTCGGCCGGAGACAATTCTATAAAACCTTCACGTTCAAGATCGTCGGGTCCCTGTACCCATAGACATCCGTTTGCGTATCCAGCGTCGGCAGTGGAGCTATCGGGTAGGCCAGCATATGGCATGGCGTTGCGTTCCATCCAGTAGTAGCGGTTCCAGAAGCGATCTTTTCCAAGTACTCTAGTTCTGGGGCAATCGGCTTCCCGAAGGTCGTTTTCGAGAGTGTGAACTTCTTCTTCGAACTCCTTAATCTTCTCCTTCACCTCTTCGATCTTTTTTAATACTTTGTCATATTGCTTCTCCTGCTTTGACGGCTTCTTTGCCTTCTCAGCTTGCGCCGTTTCTTTCCTCTCCTTTTCTTCTCTCTGCTTTTTTTTGCGTGCTGCCGCTCTATCGTTAGCTCGACGGAGGGTGCGTCCTTGATGAGGTTCCTCCTCGTCGGAGTCCATGACTTCATCCTCGTCTGCAGGCTCTTCCTCATCTGGTTCCATTTTCAACTCTGATAGTTCCTCAAGTTCTGCGGGAGGAGATGCTGAAATGCTTTCTGGTTGCAAAGTCTTACGCTCTTCATGTAACACCCGTAGCTCTTCCACTCTGCAAACGATCAGCATGTAATAGATGGCGTACTACAAGGGATACTCACGCTGCTTTACGACTTCTTTGAACTTCGTTTTTCTCTTTTCGATGCTCTGTCATCTGGGCGCTGCAGTCCTCCATGTACTGTCGGATCGCTTTGGTTTCCACGGACTTCATACAAAGGATCTGAAGTATCCGGGTGCGAAGGTTGATATCAAGGGTTTGATACTGCGCAGACGCAATTTCTGGCGTTGCGTCCTTATCGAGAGGGGCTAAGTGCCTCAAGATCTCATTGCAGCTTTCCGTGAGGCGAGGACTACTCGATAGCTGATTCAGAAGACCTACAACGATCACTACCCAGTGACCACTGGAGAAGTCACGCTTTCGAAGTCGCATTTTCCAGTCGTAGCCCCGCATTGAATGATCCATCTCTACCGCTCGGTGGACTTTCACGTTGGCGGGGGACGCTTCGTTCCCGTTGGCAGCTTGCTTCAGCTCTGCCGCTTCCGATTTTGCAAGACTACCGCGCGTAGATCGCGCTGGCGGTTTAATTTCAGGCTCTGGTGTAGGCGAGGGTTGAGCGCTACTTTCCTGGACGGATTCTTCTTCCTCGCTTTCGACTTGGTATGGCAGTGAGATCTGAACCTGGCCATTCTTGTCGTTTGAGTCATTCACCAGCTTCTTGAGCACGGCGCAATGTATCTCTACGAGAAGCTCACAATGAACGTCTTCAGACGTAATTCGCAAAGCTTCGACGTAGTCATCGAACGTAAAAGAGTCAAGCTGAAAAACTTCGCAGTAGACATTTAAGGTGTCCCAGGTCTCTAAAAGTAGCCCGACAGATTCCATCGCTATACCACTTCCAGCGCCTTCAGACACTCTGTTGAGACTTGGAGTGCTCTCTGAGAGAAACTTGAGTGGCGGGCGATGAGTCCCATCACGAACAGGAGGTATCTCAAGGTCCTCGATGGGGTACTTCGGTGGAGGCGGTGGTGGTGTAGGCTTTGGCTGACCTTTGGCGGCGATTGGTTGAAAACCCTGGACCATGCGAAACCCATGTGGAGGTCCGGCTTGGAATTGGTTAAATTGAGTTGGCTGGCCTTGCGGTGCAATCCTGAAATCCGGGTTGCTAACTGTAGAGCGTTGATATTCAGCATATTGTTCCTGCCTCCAACGCTGCATGTCATCCTGAGCATTCTTGCCTTTGCTTCCCTTCGGTTTGAGCAATGGAAGGCTGTGGCGAGCACCGTATAGATTAAGGGTGAGACCTTCGTATTCACCTTTTTTGCCAGAGGAAGGGTTGATTTTTCTCTGTTTTGATTGGTGGTCATGGGTAAGCCAGTCGGGGATAGTTGTGGTGATTCGGTACTCCTCAGCGAGTCTTGGTTTGACAAGCCAAGGTGCTCCTGTCCATGCCTCACGTGTGACGCTATTCTTCAGAAACGATCGAAGCCTCTGCTTGGTGAAGGTCTTTCGTTCACGGGCAATCTGGTCTTCATCGACCAGTGCTTCCTCACCTTGTCTTTCGTCAAGATAGCAAAAATATCGTGCATACGCTTTCCGCTCTAGGGTGCCATCTGGCCGAGCTAGCTCAGGGAACTTGGTCTTTTCACGGATGAAGCCAGTAAAACGATCTTCACCAAGTGTGATTGTGACAATTTCCCCTGGGTAGAAATCCCGCTTAAACTCCTACAGTCATTGATTAGCAACCTTCTAGAATTGGACGTGCGTAGCGAGGCCGTACCTCGTAGGTATAGTCAACTAGTTGAAGGCTGTTAGTATCAGGTTCCTGGAGATGAAGAGTGCAATGCTTGCCTAGGTTATCTATCCTTGATATTTGTTGGAACTGTACTTTTCGCAGGATCGGCTCCCTCAATGCATCAGGGAACTCGTCGTCAACCTCATCCGAGGCATCCAGCTGCTCATGTCAGTGAACGAACGACACCTATCATGTAGGGCAATGAGGGACAAGGACGAAACCTACCTCACTCCTGAGTGCTTCCTTGAAACTTAGTCCCGAATGTCCCGTGATTTCGCAGACGAAACGCTTCTAATTCACCGGTCAATATGATAAAGCGGTTGGCAAGAAGGTAAAGAATAGACCCACTTGCTTATAGTAATCGATACTAGGTAGCCCGATGATTAGTTCAAAGCAATGGACAGGAAGCCAACGCATGATCTTACCGTTTCAAGTATTCCTCATAACTGGTGAAAACCTCGCCCGTTTCTTCTATGGACCAAACCTTGAAATAAAGTCAGCAATATGAAAACTCCTAGGCCCTGGCCAAATCTACCTCGGAGTCATCCGTAATGTATGTAGGCAGCGCAGCGTATTGAACGGGTTTTCGCTTGAAAAGAACCTCGTAAACTTAGTTTATGAATCGTAGGTACAAAGGAAGTGAGTCTACCATTCTGTCGGATAGGCGGAAGAGGAACCGCCCCTTGTGTCAAAATGTGCTGGGGCCCCAATGGTCTTATATCAAACCTCTGACCAGGGGGACTGGGGCCCAAGGTAATGTATGAAATACGGTTGCGCAAGACAGGTTCTGATGTTTTGACCAATGTTGGAAGATTGAGAAGGGGTTGCAGAGGACTTATGGGCCTTTTTGAGCGCCCCGTCAACGAGGGCAAAAAGGTAACCAAACCACGTGCAATATGACGCTAAGGGGTTTACAAAGACGATATCCACGCGTCTTGATGCCTTTGGACGTGTTTTCGGGCCAGTGTTAGATGGAGTCGATGGTGGGGAGTTGGTGGTTGAGAAGAGGTCGAATGGTGAAGAGGAGATGTGGTCGGTAGCGGAAGTGGGAAAAAAGAGAGTGGAATTTGCCCATGAAGAACTATTCGGGCAAGGTGACATAAGGTTCGAATGCAGACTAAGTGAATAGACTCAGCGCTAGTGATATGATTTTACCGTCAAATAGGTAAACACCCATCGACACTTGAACGAGTAATATTATAAGGAGAATGTTACATTTGAACAGTACTACGCGAATTCCCACGATAACACCTCGAGGCTCAGAGAGAATCGCAAAGCCAGCGATTGAACATTGCGGTATAATACTTGTTTGTCGTTTTCGTGAGTCGAGACATGATGCTAGCTGCATCTATCTCTCCCGGATTCCCCCCCTCTTTCTCCTTCTTCCCACTTACAATTCTCTTTACTCTGCAGCGGCGCCATCCAACGCAATGTGCTCATATTTGAACTCGTTACACTCTCTCCAGTGCTGGGAGATTTAGGACCTCGTCGACTCCTGATATCGTTAGAAAAAAAGGATTCTCATGGACCCAACATCGTCGTCTTATGTGGGTAGCCTCCGTGCCTGTTGCATTTGATTTTCCTATCTTTTGAGCACGTTGGTTCCAAACCATCTGGCGCTTCCTCCCCTGCTACTGGACGTCTATTTGATGGAATCATTCTATAGCCATCACGGTGTAGATTTCCCGCAGTCGCGTCCATTTGATCGCATGATGGGCCAACGGCATATTTCCAGGCAGCAATGCAATCGATTCGCGGCATGGATCCCTCGCTCTCCTCCACATGCAGGAAGGTGGCCAAGAGAGAATTAGCACTCAGAAGGAAATTTACAGCAGACTTGGCATTAGTATGATTACCAATGATCTCTATCGAGATTTCTCAATCGGTTTGCGGCTCAGAGCGTAAGGCAATTTTTTATCAATTTCACATGGAACATTGGTAGTCGTTCGGAAGAATATTGATTATCGCCTTCACACAAGTACAAACTACTTTCCTGCTAATGGGGTATCTGAGCACTATAAAGTGAAGTACACAACAGAAAATCCGATCCAGCTGCCCACAACCCCTATTGCCGAATACGAGCTTGTGAACATCAACGGCAGAAATTCATATTTTGGCCCGAAGGAAAGCTGGTGAATGAGTGAACAATAGATGACAAGAGGAATAGACACAGTGATATAGAGAAGGGAAAACCTGTCAAGCAGGAAAACTCGCGGTCGGGACGAGACTGGCGCCAGCCGATCAAACACCAGCAGAAAAAGTATCAACCAAAAGACCGTATACACAGCCTTCACTGGGAACTCTGCGGCCGTGAATAACAATGGAAACAGAGACACATGCCCTGCAACGGCCAAAGGTCGGAACGCGCCAAGGTACCGACGGTCTTTTAACGCTAGCAAGCTGAACGGTATAATCACCAAAAGGATGGCCTTTTCGTGGACATGCCATCCAAAGAGGAAGGATGCGTAGCCACACAGAGTCACAGCTCCGACGAAGGTCTCCCACGTTGGCTGGAAGAAGAGCTTAACCAGACATAGCTGATGACGGTTAGTCATCGATATACAGAGAGGATTATTGAGGTATGGTCTCACTGTTTGGAAGAACAAAGTTAGGAGGAAGGTAGTCTTGGGTGATATGTTGGGGAGGACTGCAAAAGAGGAGTCTCCAACGAGTCCTCGGGTGACGCTGTTCAGCGCAGCTTGATCGACTGGCAACCCCACCTTCGGCGCGACTGAACATCGTAAGCTTATAGTAGAGAAGCTCGACCTCTTTGCTGCAGACTAACCGTAGATGAGAACCCTATCAGTGAACGAGTACATAGCCCACACATTGGGCGCCCAGTAAGCATGACACAATCCCCGTGAGAACGGAAACAGTCGGCTTAAGACTTGATCCTCTTGGGCCAGGTACCAAAAGGGTCCAAAAGCGGCCCCAAAAATACTGACAAGTCCTGACGCCAGCTTGACGCAGTTGCCAAAGCGGATTCGAAACATTGACTTTTGGCTCAGGCAGTATGCTCGCAGCAGATACATAAAGTACGCGGGCGCGAGATAGAGATATATGTGCTTGAAGCAGAGTAGTGCGGCAAACAAAAGTCCCCCGAGCAGCATGGTGGACTGCTTTCGAGCCGAGACCATGGAGAGTATGAGGATGCCGTACAGGAAGCCATTATACTGGAAATGAATGTGGTCGATGATCAGGAGCGCCGGAGATAATAGGATTGAGATGGCTACCGCATGAGAATTCTTCTGCAGAGCTGTGGGGGATGCTTGAACATGTCTAGTGCAAAACATCAGCCTCGGATTTATTGCTTCTTGTGACCTTGGCACTCGTACTTATATAATGCAAATGCTAGCACCAGATCCGTTGCCATGACTGTTGAGCGTTGGAAATATACGGTCTGCCAATTTTGATACTGCAGATTATCAATCTCCAGCATGGCAGGGTCCACATAGTAGGCAGCCTGGGAGAGGAGCCATTCGAAGTAGGCAAAGAAGGGGGGGTAGTCGAGTGTCCACTCGGAAGTTGTCTGGCAAGCCTCGTCAGTGTTGTTAATTAGAGTGGATCAGACGACAACATTACTTCATAGTACCAATCCTTGACCGGCAATGAGTTAGTGATAGCAAGCCAATTGCGGTGGACCTCGAAGTCTGTGGATTTGCTGGACCTGCATTAGCCTCATATGGGGTGATGTTTGCATCCAGAAGTTAACGCACTATGCGGGCCAAAGGAGAACCTTCAGTGCTGTCGCGAGGACAGCAGTCTGTGTTATGGATGGGTAAAGATCGGCCATGGAGGCATTGCTGTTGAAGGGGTTCTTTTTTCACAGAGTCACAATGAATAGAGTAGTAGAACAAGATCCAAGTTTACGAGTAGGCAGAGGAGGAGGGGTACCTTAGGGGAAGGTATTTTAGTCTTTAAGGTAAGCATATAAACGCTCGGCAAGCTAAATTAGTTCACGGCCGTTGGCCGAGGGGGCTGACCTGAAACAGCTACCTCATCACTAAAAGTAATGGACCAATGGGCCAAATGACACCTGGACCTCCTGAATTCTTTGTAAAAATGGACCTCTCTGATGTCGCGGTGAGGCATGTCATAGCCTTCTCAACATTGAACATCAAACATTCCATCGACTTGTCTCCTTCTACTCTATCCATTGCCCGAGAACTTCGTATCTGCCTTGTCGCCATTGTTCTCGGCTTGACCGCCGCTAGCATTACGAGAAGTGTGCTGGCCTCAAGAAAACCCGAACAATAACGCAAGACAATTGTTGAAGCTCCTCTCGGTCTTGCAGTACGGTACAAGGCATTTGGTACAACTAGTCGCCCACCCAATACCTTCCTACGCGGATATCTTCGGGTCTGCTTCCCAAGCCCGAGCCCCTGACGCTCTGGTCGTTGCCTTTTCGGCATCATGCGTTTTCTTTGCTTTTTGTCTCTATTAGCGGCATCAGCATCGGCGCAGTACTTGGTTGAGAGCTCCAGCTTTGGACAGAATGATCAGTAAGCAGTCACCATGAATCCGCAGTTTATGTGTGTTGATCGCGTGACAGAATTTCCTCGAAAAATGATGCAGTAGCTGGCTGGCACACATTGGGGGAGGGACAAACTCCTCAGCTGGTGCGTATGGAGAGATCCGGAAAGTTTGTCATGCTCGTCGACTGACGGAGACAGTTGTCTGATAAAATAATCCTGACGCCCCCATACCCTGGCAATCAAAGAGGAGCTCTGTGGGCAGATGCCATGTAGGTGTAGCCTCCATTAAATGCATGATGATTCTGCTAACGTTCTCGTTAGGGTCTCACAGTCAGAGTGGGTTGCCGAACTTGAATTCCGAGCCACAGGCCCTGAACGAGGAGGCGGAAATTTACAGTTATGGTACGCTAAGGACGGTCGGATGAATATTGGAACGTCGAGTATATACACCGTTGGCAATTTTGACGGGATGGTTCTGGTGATCGACCCGTATGGTGGAAAGGTTTGGTTCTCTCCACGGAACCAATGCCTATACATGCTAAAGTCGCTAGGGTGGAGGCATTCGGGGATTCATGAATGATGGCACTCTCGACTACAAGAATTACCATTCAGTAGACTCACTGGCTTTCGGCCACTGCGATTATTCCTACCGAAATCTAGGTCGACCGACCAAGCTTCAAATCAAGCAGGAGGGCAACACGTTCGAGATCATAGTGGACAACAAGCTCTGCTTCTCGACGGACAAGGTCTATTGCACATCTTAGAGTCTTTCTACAATCATTGCTGACAGCGTATGATAGGTCAAAATGCCTCCTGACTACTACTTTGGTCTTACGGCTGCCTCGGCTGAGACTGCGGATTCCTTTGAGGTTTACAAATTCAACCTTTTTACCTCAAGATCGATCACTCGAGAGGAGCCTCGCCGTGCGCAGCCTCCCCCAGTGGGACAGCCGGATAATCGTGGCAATGCACCACCGCCTGAGACTCAGGCTCCCTCAACTGCCCCGTCAGACGCTCAATTCAATGACCTCCAAAGCCGGTTACAAACAATGGCCCAATCAATAGACAGCTTGTTTCAAGAAGTCAAGCAACTTGCTGAGAAGTCAGAGGGCAGACACTTAGAGCTTTCACGTAACGTCATAGCCGCAGACAGGCTCAGTTCCATGGATCAGAGATTACAAGGCATTGAAAAGACCGTTCGCGACTATCAAGGACAGTTTTCTAGTTTACAGAGCACTCTCAAGGATTCTCACAGCAGCCTTGTGGAAGGGTTGCCCAAGCATATGAGTGATAGTATGTATTCGCTAACACTGCCTAATTGTAGGCCTCTAGTTATACTGCGAAGCTAATTCGAGAACAGTAATTACCACGAAAGGGCCCCGAATGGGTCTTTTGCTTTTCGTCTTTCTGGGATGTCAGGTCCTACTCGCTGGCTCCTATGTCATATATAAGCGACGGAAGGCTAACGGACCGAAGAAGTACTTGTAAATTAGAGTGAAGTACGTACCAGGAGGAAATTCATCCATACAGGCCAAAATCTCACGCTCAAACTCCGAGTCGGAATCCAGAGTTGCTGTCGATTTGCTCGCCGCTTTCCCACGTTCTCCAGACGCATCTGATCATGTCAATTGACTACTTTGCAGTGGAGGTGGGGTTCTTACCGCGCTCACTATAGACCGATGGAGTGTAGAATCCGGAATCTTGGCTGAGAATGTCGTCCTCGTCTCCTTCGTCAAGACTTGTGACCACCTTAAGGAAGTATTCGCCGTATCGGTTCGCGTCGCCTTCGTCCTTGACTTTCTCCCCAGCCTCTCGCGCCTTCCGCTTCCATTTCTCACTCATAGACTCCACAGCCTCGTCTGGTGCGTCGGTCTCAGGTGTCTTAGTAGTTTCGGACTTCGTGACCATGCCATCGCCAACGGCCAAACCCATAGTCTCGATCTGTTCTGCCAACGAATCGAATTTCTCGCCGAGGTCTAGGCTCTGGAGACGCACAGGACTGCTACCGCTACCATCATCAATCCCCTTCAACGTCTCGTACATCTTTCCTTCATCCTTCATTACTTCGACCATGCTCTTGAGTGCTTTTTCGATATCCGTTGGCTCGCAGGTAAGGTCGTCCTCCGAGTTCTCAGCTGCAATGTCTGATCTGTAGATGTTGTGCCCTTTCATGGCAAACAGCAAGTCTTTGCCCCAACGTGCGAGCCACTTCATTTCCAGCTCATACCGACGTTTCTTGTCGAAAAATGCATCCGTCAACAGCAGGTTCTTGCCCATCTTCATCCTCGCAACGTTATCGCCTCCGATCATACCCAGGAACAGAATTAAGTCATTCGGCTTGCGGATTGAGAAGGTGTTGTCACGGTATAAGATGTTCTTCGCATCATCCAGGCATTTCTTGACCGCCTTATCCTTGGACGAGCACAGCGCCAGCAGGATGTTCAGCTCCGGCTTCTTCCTCAATCCGACATTCTTCACGACTTTGCCGTTGACGTAGTGGTAAGGAACGAGCTCCTGGTGGACCACAAGCACGAAGCCTAGCACCTTATTCCTCACTTGTGTTGGCAAATCCATGAATCTAGAAAAGGTTCCCATGTCACGCACTTCCTCAGACACGTCCTCTGGATCTCCTCCCTTCAAGGCGTTTTTCTTCGCCTTCCTGTTCTTGTTCTTGTTCTTTCTGCTTCCCTTCTTATTCTTCTTCTGACTCGCCTCCTCATCCTGATCATGCGTCGAGACCGAGATCTTTTCATCCTGGCCGTGAGTCGAGATCGATCCTTGGGTTTGCTCCTTCTGCTTGCTTGATCGCACGAATTCCCAGAAACCTTTATCTTTCAGATCGAGATCTTTGCCAAGCGAAGGCGCTGCCTCTTCTGCCTCTTTCTCCTTCCTCGCATTCCTGACCATTGCGTCCCATCGGGCACACTCCTCGTCGATCTGTTCTTCGCTCATGTCTGTCCCGTCATCCCTCTTTAGCCAATTTTCCGGACCCTGTTCCTTCCATCTCTGCAGATCTGATTTGGAAGTATCTTCTTTGGCTGTGGCCTTGACTTGTTCGGTTGCTTCTTCTTTAGTCATCACTACTTCGTTCGAGTCTTCTTCAGCCGCGAGATCTTCTTCGGAGGCATCATGCTTCAAGCGGTTCAGGATGGCCACGCGTACCTCCTCGATCCACCAGTCTTGTTCGGTGACCGACTCAACTTGGATGTTATTCTCGACGATGGTGTTGATGAACTCAGCAACGGTAAAATATGTTGGATCCTTGGCGTTGGGGTCAAGTGATTCTTCAGCTGCTGCGGTGGACCAAAGCATCGGAGGTGGGTCGGAGCATGGTTCAAGTGGACATGACCCAAGGTTTTCAGCTGCGTTGGCATCGAAGAGAAGCTCTCCGGTGGGATTGTCAGTGCTATTGCCGGCTATGGAACCTTCTTCCGCAGTCGTAGCTGTGGGAGATCCGGTGGGGCTGGCTGACTCTGGTGCAAACATGAGGTTGCCGAGTGCCTCACGAAGAGCCTCGGCTTTTGGGTTGCTCTCTTCAGGCGCTGGTGGCGTGAGTAGTGATTCGGTGTTGTGGAATGGGGCTGTTGCAATGACGAGCCTATAGAGCATCTCGGAAAGTTGATCGTCGAAGCCCAGAATACTGATGAGATGTTTGACGCGTTTTGGATTCACATTTTGCATAGTCTCGTCGGAACTGCGACCTGCGGATGCAGACTCTGCATGGGCACTTCGACGAAGCATGATAGTAGATTGCGTTGGGTCGGAAAGCGAGAAAGAACGGTGCTGCTGTATCTCGGCCTGCTGCGCGAAGGTGTTAGAAGCAGTATCGTCTCCGACGTTGTGCTGAGTATCGGGACTGAGTTCCCCTGAAGTGGAAAGTGAGAATGGACTGTGCTCGCGTTGCTGCTCTATGTCTGTATGGATTGGGCTAGAAAAGAAAGGCTTCGTGTTCTCATCCTCGACGCGTGGTGAGTTGAATGTTGCGCGAGGATTGGGCCCGCGTCCCTCCTGCTGCTGCTCCATAGTGGAGTGCTGTGATGCAGAGAGCAAGAGTGGCGTACTCTCGTCTTCGTGATCAAGCTGCATTCTGATACTCGAGCGTGATAAAGTAGAAGACGAGAGGTGAGCACCCTCGATACTGGGCTGGATGGTGGTGTTTGACCCTGGTGAAATGGAATTTGTGTGAAATTTGCGTCCCTCGACCTGCTGCTCCATGGTAGGGTACAGTGGATCAGAAGCTAAGAGCGGTATGCTCTCATTCGCGGCAGGCTGTTGAGCCATAGTGGTTTGACAATGAAATGGGAGCAGCAAGACGTGTTGAAGTGAGGGTTATGATTCAGGATTTGTTTTGAAATGAAAAGATGAGTCAAAGGGGAAACAAGCTGTCTTGCTTAGTCGTCGCCGAGCAACTAATCTTGTTTGCTCTCTACAGATTCAAGCATCCTCGCCGGCGCCAAGCTGACATGGCTGTGATGGGCCACTAGCCAGACAGCTGCTCACGCCAAATGACAGCCTCGATACCGGGCTCATACCCAGGTGCAGCAATCCAGAAGAAGAAATGTCTAATGGCACTTACTTATTTAATATATTTCCTACAGACCCTTAAAATAGCAAGATAAAGGGCAAGTCACAATCGTGGTGAAGAGAACGCGATTTAGAGCTTTATGGAGTGAAATATTCGGACGACGTGAGGCGGATCGCTAGGTATGTTTACACACTACTAAGCGAGGCGCGGCTAATCAGTGCTCCCTGCGGTGATTGATTGGATTCTTTTAGGGGGAAAGATACCATTTCCATGGCAAAGGGACCACGCCCTATACCTCTGGTGGCTCAGGATGCATCTCATGCTTGCATGGAATCTGACAGTGGTTCTCTACTATCCTCAGGTCTTTGCAAGCTCCTAGACCAATTTTATTGATGAAAGCCAACGACTAGCTTTCTCCTACCCTTCGGATGCTCGCTTATCTTGCAGATATCTCTCCTCTCTTGCGCCAATGTTTTCCTAGCCTTCCCATATTCTTGTTTCCAACGCGTTCCATGTATGTTTATGTGAACCTAGATAGTATTATGATCTTTAAACACCATGTCAACAGCCAAATTCTGGGATGAGGTGAATGCGGTAGTTGACAGTTTTGACTGACCGTAAAAGGTCTACGAGAATCCAAAGAGGTTTGTATGCACATTGAAGACCGCCTGCAAACCATGGGGTCAATTCAAGGAGCGTCAGGACCTAGTAGTGCTCTCCATGTTGGCTTGCTGCTCAATTAGAGACGTCATCCGCATCAGAGCTCAGAAAGGCTCCAAGGCAAGGTAGCAATTTGTGTTCTATGCAATTGATCCAGGCCAAGAGCTTCAAGCATGAGCTTTGGGAATTCTGCCCGGGCAGAGAAAGAGCGACATCAGCAGCAGCAAATGTCAGAAAGCGTTGCACACCCAAATCGAAGAGTCTCACTTGAGTATCTAAAGACATGAGGTTTTACGATACAACAACTCTGAGGCTATGTAAGCCTAGTCATCAAGCCCCTCGTGAATATAGTAGCTATGTGCAAGGTAATCATATGAGTACACTATCAAATTGCTAATACTTGCAGATGCATCGTGAATACATATCCAATCCATTCCCTTAACCAACCCAAAAGCGTATCTACGAGATGAGCTTCGTCCATGAGACTTTGGCCGCATCATCTAGGCCTCGTGCCGTCAGGCCCAACACTTCTTCCCCCCTCTCTGACTCTCTTTTCAACCTTATCCCGATGCAAACGATTCTTCAGGTGTACCTCAAAATTGTTCACACCTGTCTCAGGACCTGGGGTGTACAGCTTTCCCGGACAATCGAGGCACTTGATCCTTGGGTAATACATGAATTTCGTATCTGGCGGCGAAGGCTCGTTGGGCCCGTTAGGCCTTAGGCTAATGGGCATGTCCGTCACAGTCGAGACTGCAGTGTAGCGCATTGTACCCTCGAAGAGGTCATCAGGGTATGTGATCTGAAGCTTCGATAGGGCTTGGTGAAGCCAGGAGGGTGGATCAGGCTGCAAAAATGGATCAGCGGCTGAGGGACTTCGAAATACTACTTGACGAAATAGAAGGGGAAACACGGCTTACCATGGGGTGCTCCGGGGTGGGTGGACCGACAGCGTCCACCCGCCCAGTTTGTGCCGCGTGAGGATGGAGAGGGTTGACTCCATCTCTCTGTTCGGCTGGGCTGCCATGCTGACGTGTCTGCTGGTGCTGTTGTACACCGGGTGTCGTGGGCGGCCCCATTGTGCCAGGAGCTGGGGTGCCTCGTCCAGGTGTTGCACTCGAGGACCGTTGATGAGACGACTGTTCAAGAGGCGTAGGTTTAATTCTGCCCTTTTGATCTCGCATGAATTGCCTCAATCGATCGCGATGAATCCGAAGCTTGACGATGAGCGAAGGTGGCGTATCGTCGACGCTCTCTTCCCGGTAGTCTTTGCCACCAAACCTGCGACCTGAGGTTCGTGTCTCGTGGTGATGTAGTATCGTTGTTTCAGGGGTTGCAGAGCGCCCTAGTGCGCCTCGCATAGCGGCTTGGGCTACAGTTGCTGCGCCTCTCATTCCCCTTGTGCGTGCAGTACCAGCAAGCAAGTGTGCTGGAATTGCAGGTGAATCTGGAGCTGACTCATCACTATCCGACTCATCCGAGTCGTCAATTCCGTCTTTTTGACCATAGCCAGGACGCCGACCTTTTCCGGAAGCAGCAGCAGTTCGCTTGAATATCATACTACCCTCCAGAGTCTCTGCTGCACCTGGAAGGACTGATGACACGACCAAGGTTCGTATTGTCCGCCGACGATCTTTCAAATCTGGCAAAGCAGGCCCACCACGTCGGTTGACTGATCGCTTCTGCCGGCGCTCTTCTCTTGAAAGTGAAAGTTCCGTCTTTTCTAATTCTACTTCGTTAAGTTCGTAAAGATAAGGGGTGAATTCCTTGGCTGCTTGATAGGGACGGAACGGCGACTGCATCGGGGATGGTAAAAAGCCGGCTTTCAGTTCCTGGTCCTCAACGGGCCGTCCATCGAAAGGGTGACCTGTTACGAAGAGACTGCGAGTAAAGAGCTGGCTTTGTTCTCGAATTGAATGTGCTATTGCTGTTGTGAATTCGCCGGCCAAGGAAAGATCTCGAGTCATTTGTTCTGCAAACAGCTCCGGAGAGTTCAAGGGACTATTGATCTCCCACTCAAACTGGTCCACAAGTGTGTGCGCGCCAATAGTGATATTAAGTTTTATCGTTATCCGCATCTCGTCATCCTTGTATGCATTATATGGCAGATGAGGGTCCAGCGCCTCTTCTTCAATGAATATATGAGGATGATAATCCTGTATTTGTTCCTTAAGGCTCGCGCTGACTTGTTGCACTAGAGGTCCGCATTGTTCGAGGGGCAGCTTGAAGTCCTCGACAAGCTGTTGTGCGAACAAATCAGGAGGTGTCACTCTATCGTGCAGGTTCCAGGTAAAAGTATCCCGAAGTCTTATCTTGTCCCACTCGATATCTAACCTAATGGGCACGAGCTCATCAAGCTGCTCTGACTGTTTCGCAAGTTCCTTCCTCGGCACACGTAACTCCCGGGTCTTCTTTCCGCCAGCTCGCTTGCGTTGAGCAGGATAGACAAGAGTCATGCCCTTTCCTTGATTGATGCCGTTCCCGAATTTCCCATACTGACCATAGCCAGGACCATAGATGGCAGCTGGGTTGATCAAGTTGGTGACTGGTGGATCCAACCATTTCGGTCGCGCCTCCCTATGAAGGTCTAGGTAAGCCTGTTTCCCTTCTCTGACCTGCTCGGCATCAAGACCGCGTAGAGCCATGTAAAAGTCCGCCTCATCCCTTTTGAAGTCGTGTAGTTTATCCATCTCTATGCCATCATACATCCTTGCGTCAGTGTGGATTAGGGCGCGATTGACGTATTGGTGCAACTCGACATTTTCGAGCCCCTCGGCATTTGGGTCATTGGGACCCCTTGGCTTCAATATCCTGTCGTTGTTTCGACACCTTGGTGATCTGAGGATTCGCGTGCCGGATCGGGAACGTTTCCTGGTCTGCACCATGCCATTTGGTATCGTGGCGGACCCGTTAGCTGCGTCGGACTTCTCTAACATGACTGCTCCATCAGTTGCCGCGGAGAGACCTGAAGCCGCCATGATGGCTTTTGCCTTTTGCTTCCTTTCCTGCATTGGCTCCGCAGACTGGATTCCTTGTGCAACACCATTGGGTTCGAAGCCATTGCGCAACTCATCCTTCGTCGCTCTAATGACTCCATTGGTTGAGGCCGCATTGGTAAGCTTCTCTTGGGGTGAGGGTGTAGCAGATGGTGATAGTTGAGTGTTGGGGGACGGCATGGTGGGTCAGAGGAGGGAGATAGGGGAGGTAGGCACACGGAGGCTTAATCATCGATAGAGATCGGCAAGCATCACTATGGAATGACACGGTGAGTCAGCTCCATAATGAAAAGAGCAGAGAGCGATATACGGGGTGGATTGATAGGCGCGCGCGACATCCCCGCCTTCTGGATGAGAGAAGAGGGTCTGAGGTCTTGAGCGAGCCAGGGTGAAGCAGCATCATCGCCGAGCCACGACGGCGAGGTGGAAATCATCACCAAATGTGAACAAGGGACAGGGAATGATAGCAACGTACCATGTAGTGTACTCAAGAGGCGCAATAATCGCGTCGTGCGCAAGGTCAGATGCAAATAATCCATATTATTGCGAATCGGCTCCGGCGTGTTGTCTACCTCCCACTTAAAAGCCTAACGCTACTGCTACAAGTAGATTGGGTGTTGCCTTATAGGGCTGGACCGATTGATTGAATGCCACCAATAGGTTATTATACCATAGCCAGTGAGCTTCCACGTCCCATTATTATTATTTTCTCTTTTTTCTCTCTTTGTTACCAAGTTTTGCCTGAACAGCCACGCTTGGTGTCTCCTGGAGATTCTTCATGTTAGGCACCGGAACATCCATTGCTCTTCTTCTTCTGCTTCTGCTTCTGCTTCTTGCTCGCACTTCTCGCCTTGCTCTCACCTGCTGACCACATTCCCAGCACCGGCACAACGGTGTACGAGTACCTGCGCATTGCCGCAGGTACTAATAATTCCTTGGTCAACATGGGAGGCTCAGTGCCCGATATTCCTGGAGTCAAGGCCGAGGGGCCCCTTCTGACCACCCTTCGCGCCGAAGTTGCAGAGCTACTAGATCGAAAATCCCCAAACTTTCCAGGCGCTCAGCCTGTCAGTTTCGCCGCGCGACACATCGCTGAACTCCAAAAGCAAGATTACTTTGTTTGCGAAAAGTCTGACGGCATACGATGTCTGATGTACCTTACATATGATGATCAACCCGAAGGTCGAGTACAAGTGACATACTTGATAGACCGGAAGAATGATTATTGGTACGTGCCCGGCCCAATCTTTCCCAAGTCCGTCGACAAGCCGTATGATTTCCACGTTGCTACAGTCTTGGACGGCGAACTTGTCAACGACACACAAGTAGATGGATCAATTCGGATGAAGTACCTCGTGTTCGACTGCTTGGTCCTTGACGGCAATCGCTTGATACATCGAACATTGGACAAGCGGCTTGGGTACTTCTACGAACACTTGGACAACCCACTGCAAGCATTTTACAAAAAATGGAACGATGATGCGGCGGCGCTGCCGTTTCTGGTGGAGCGCAAGAAGATGGAATTAGCTTACGGCATAGAAAAGATGTTCAAGGAGATTCTGCCGAACTTACCTCACGGCAACGATGGCTTGATCTTCACCTGCAAGAGCACTCCGTATCAATTCGGCACAGATCAGCACATTCTCAAGTGGAAAAGCGAGGAGGAGAACTCGATTGATTTCAGGATGGTCCTTGGATTCCCAATCATCCAACCAGATTCCGATGATGATGATGATGATGATGCAGACGAAGGTCCCTATCCCGATTACAGCGCTCTGCCTGAGATAGAGCTTTACGTCAACGGGGACGGGGATACCGATATTCCATTCGGTAGAATGCATGTGGATAACCCTGAGTGGGAGGACATGAAATCGTTACAGCAACCTCTGAATTGGCGGATCGTGGAGTGCTCTCAGGACAAATCGAACCAATGGAGATTTTTGCGATTTCGAGACGACAAGAAAGAAGCCAATCACATTAGCACAGTCAACAGTGTTATGGAAAGCATACAAGACAATGTATCGAAGGAGCATCTTATTGGGGTAGCTAAGAGCATCAGAGATCATTGGAAGAAGAGAGAACAGCCTGCGGTGGTGAGGAAATAGGATGAGTCCCAATGGCCGTCTACCCTATGGCCGTCTCTGCTGATCTTGGGTGGAGCATTGCGAAAGCGACTGTTATGACTGCCGAACCAACGCCGTAATCTTTAGAGAATCGAGCTGGCGATGATACTACATCATGGGTCCTGAACCATCGTGGGATATCAGTACTTGGTCTGCAGAGCTTTATCGTGAATTGAAAACGTCCAGTAAGTTGCTCTGTCTATACGCGTGCCATCATCAACTACTGATAGCTGTTCCAAGAACAATGCGTAATCTGGCTCATAAACAGGCTGTCGAGCATCAAGGCTGAACATTCGGAGGTGCTGGACAAGGCAGAGTTCGGGATTTGGGCGTAGGCAAGTCTGGTCAAAGTTCAATAGCAGATAAATTTCTTCATTTCCGCAGTACCTTAGCCGCGACATTTCTAGGCAATTGGTGTCACCCATTGCAATAGTTTCTGCAACCGCCGTAACGTAGAACAGAACCATTACAGCATGGCATCCCCAAACCCCAAAGCCAAGCACATAGCAGTCCTGGGGTAATCATTCACAATTAAGCCGTCTTCCAGTGTTTCCAAATACCTGTATTGACACTTTTTCGCGGTCCAGAGCAGGCATAACGGGTCTTCAGACAGCCCTCTATCTCCTCGATGCGGGATATCAAGTCACCATCATTGCAGAGTATGTTCCTGGAGATGAAAGTGCGCACTATGCTTCACCCTGGTACACCACTCCTCTCATATCGTGCTCAACCTCCCGTAGGGCTCGCGGCAGGATTGGCGGTTGATTCTCACGTAGGGCCGGAGGGCAATGGCGGACTCACGCCAAGGCACACGAGGCAGAGTTGCAAGGGTGGGACGCAGAGACGTATAGGGAATGGATGGATATGGTGAGGAGAGGGAAGGGGACAGAGGCTGGATTAGGGGGTGCGTACATTTCGGAGTAATTACTTCCTTTTCTACGCCGAATTCTGGATTGAAAGACATGTTTCCGGAGTAGAAAGCTCTTTCTACTCCCGAGACGTGTCTTGCAAGCCTGAATTTTGCCTTTGAAAAGCAGTGCTGACTCCGAAACGTGCGCAGTGAGTTGACTTCAAATTGTTCTAGACGGCCAACTTTGGGAGGACTGGAACCCTGCGCAGTTTTTCCAGGACATCACACGGCGATGTATTTAGAGGTGTTAAGCACTGGAAAAATAAGAAGGTCATGGCTGATATCTGGTGTATCAGATTGTCCCGTCTACTCTCTACTGGTACGTAGAAGTTGCATCTCTCGTGATCATGTTTGTAGCTGACTACAACATAGGTCCTCTTCAGCCTCTGAGATTAGTCCTCAATTATGGTGGCGCTCAATCGTCGAGAATTTCAGCTATCTACCAGCAAATCAATTTCCTGAAGGCATCCAATCAGCAGTAGGCTTTACAACAATCTGCATCAATGTTCCCCGCCATCTCAATTATCTTCTGTCCACCTTCCTTGCCATGGGTGGGAAGCTTGTCAAAGCTCGTCTGCCGACGGACAAAGGACTTCCAGGAGCTTTGAGATTTGCGGCCTCTTTGGCGATGAGTCAAGAACCACATGAGAGGCTCATTTGTGTGAACGCGAGTGGGTTGGGAGCGAAAGCGCTGGTACCGGATGATGCTATGTTCCCTGTGAGAGGACAGACCGTGCTGGTGAAGGGGGAGGCGAAGTATGCAAAGACGATGAACGAAAACAAGTATGTTATTCCACGACCGGGAAGCGGGACGACGATTCTAGGCGGTACTAGGGAGGTTGGGAATTGGTGAGTATTTCGATGTTGAGGCCCCGTTGAACAGCTTTGACTCCGCGTCAGGAGCACCGAGGTAAGCAACAAGGCCACGAATGCGATTCTGGAAGGTTGCAAAAGCCTGGCTCCGGAGCTGTTGGAAAAAGACGGATCATTCGAGGTCTTGAGCGTCCAGTGTGGTCTTAGGCCAGCAAGAGAGGGCGCCCCGAGAGTGGAGGCCGAAATTGTAGACGGGATATTCAAAACAGTGCATTCGTATGGTCATGCTGGCGCTGGGTACGCCACTCCGTCGAGAGACTTGTTGCGGAGTTTCTGACTAAGATCATAACAGCTATCAGAATGCGATTGGCAGCGCCAGGAAAGTTGTGCGATTGGTCAAAGGACTAGACTTGGAGGCGAGCACGTCGGCGAAGCTTTGAGAAGGTAATTGACGGAGAATGAGGTACTGCGGGATTTTCACATCGTAGACACGTCACCCACGACAACTTGATGATCAGAATTGTAGATTCCACACTCGAATCGATTTGGGAGAACAGCGCACCCCTCCACAAGCCACCACCTCTCTGGACTGCCTCTCTTAGAATTACTGTTGGCCAAATTTGGTTCGTCCCTGTTCACGAAAATGAAGTCGATTCTTTTAAGGTGTTTTGAATCGAATCCAGTGAAAGTATGGATCTCTCCGTAGCGTTTATTCTCAGAGACCATCATTTGCAGATCGGCCATTGGAGATGTTGAACTAGTCATCTCATTGTAGGCTTCTTGTTCAGGTTCACTGTTGAAGTCGCAAGAAAAATAGGTGGGCTCTGTCCGTGGGGGACCTGGTCAGTGAACAGTCATATCTGTTCCAGTATGATTTTTGCCGCCTCTAAGCGTGACTTGCTACCTTGGTCATCGAGATGAGTATTCATAGCAACAACGGTCTTGCTGGTGGACCGATGCTGGAACACAGCTATAGTCAAGATCCTGGTAGAGGCAGCATCCCAACGCTTAGAGGGACGGTCTTACCCAGATTGCGGAGTCAGCATTGCTTGTTCGAGGTAGGTAATGGAGTTGCAAAATATTTTTAGGGCCTAGAAAAGTCCTCTTGCTCCCGAAACATGTTTTGCGACTCGGTTCCAATATCATATGGGAGATATCAGCTTCGAAATACACGTACCTGGCGTTCTACTGAGCCACTTTGTTCTTTGTGTCTTCAGCTCCTACAAGGATTTCGGAGTCAGTATTTTTGCCTCAAGACAGGCAAGGTCCCGAGGTGAGACAGCTCAGAGGGAGATCAAGAGGCGCTTCCTCTCGGAATATGTTTTGTGATCCGGAAATGGCCTGCAATAGGGTCGTTCCGCTCTAAGAATATACAGACCCAAATTTCAGGTTTATACACTGTATTCCAATTCGCCGTCGGTATCGCCTACTTGAGAGGGTATAACGAGCCTGAAAAACATGTTTCGAGAGTGGAACTTTCCGATATAAATCTCGAGACTCAAGACATTGTCCAAAAGAGGAAACACTGGATTCCGAAAATACGTACAGATGGGGGAGTTTTCTCCAGCTTCTAGCCCGTCATCGCGGCCCACACCCACAAAGGCTCATGCCTTCTTCTTGCTGTTGAACCTGAAAGAATACCGACCAACTACTGATGCATTACTTCCCACAAGCATATGAATGATTCTTCACAGTGTGCTGTATTGAAAGAGAGCTCATTGATGAGACGAAATTTATGAACACCCCATTTTTCTTCACTCTTAAAGGATGAATTAGTAGCGTAACGGATGTTGTGGGTCAACAAACGGATTGGCAGAGGCTCGTACACCTTCATTATGCCGAGGGTGAAGATTTGAAAGTGGAGGTGAAGTTGGAGTTGAAAGGGTGGGAGTACAGAAGGAGTAAAGCATTAGGGTTCAAACAGCGGGCAACGGTAGCCGACACAACGGTCAACCCACCGACGAGTTAACATAAGAATTATGTTTCCCCACTCACGCGACATTCAATTATTGTAAATGTGAACGGATTATACATCATAGTTCTTGGATCTACGACTGGCAAGTCGCCAATCATGGCGGAAGATGCGGCGGTCGGTACGTATACGATTTCTCACGTATCGACTCGAGGTTTTGCATATTGTTTGTCCTGGCTAACAAGTAATGACCTGGCAGATTACACGCTGAACAATCCCGATACTCTGACGAAGTACAAGACAGCCGCTCAGATCTCCCTCAAGGTTCTAGAAGCTGTTACTGGTAATGTTCACTCGCCATGCTTCGTCTGGGATTTTTGTTGATTGTAAGTGAAGGATGGTGCCTCGAGGGAGAAAAGATTGTCTCCATATGCGAACGCGGAGATAAGTTCCTGGCGGAAGAAGTTGGCAAGGTTTACAAAGGAAAAAAAATCTCTAAAGGTCAGAGAGACCCAATCGCATTACGAAAGAGATATTGCTGATGTTATATCCTTCAGGAATATCTCATCCCACGACTGTCTCTCCTAGCTCTTACATTACTCCATACACTCCACTTTCTACAGATGCCGAGGAAGCGCCTACATCATTAAAGGCCAACGAGGCGGTCAAGATTCAATTGGGAGCCCAAATAGACGGCCTCGGCACTATCGTATGCGACACGATCATCATACCAGGAGAGGCCAATAAGGATGACAAACTACTCGGCCGGGAAGCTGATCTGTTGCTTGCTACACATTACGCAAATGAGCTTCTCCTGAGGCTCATGATACCTCCCGGCCTCCTAGCTTCTGGGACAGATGAGGAGAAAAAGAAAGCAGCATCGATAAAGCCCATCACGCAGTCGAAGATGACACACCTTCTCGAAAAAGTAGTCAAAAGTTACGGCTGCAACCTGGTTGAAGGGACCACGTCCTGGCTGTTCGAGCGAAATGAAATTGAGGGCAAAAAGAAGATTGTCCTTTCTCCCCCATCAGACGGCGGCAAGGGCGAAGGGGTTCCTGAGATTGGGGATGTTTGGGGCGTGGAAATGGGTGTTAGTCTGGGTACCGGCAAGATAAAGACGTTGGAAAATCGCCCTACGCTACACCGGAGAACCACCATCACTTACCAACTCAAAAGACCGAGTTCTAGGCAAACGCTTTCGGAGATCGTAAAGAAATTTGGGACTTTTCCCTTCAGCTTGAGGCAGCTTGAGGATGAAAGAGCGGCCAAAGTTGGTGTGGTAGAGTGTGTGCGATCAAATGTTCTCCGACAGTATGAGGTTGTAGCAGACAAGGACTCGGCTCCTGTCGCAAGACTTTTGACAACAATTGGTAAGTCTTAGGTGAAATGAGTAAGTGTGTCAAGAACGATAAGCTAATAAAGCCAGCCATCACGAAGAATGGGATCGTCCGTTTGAGCGCACCGCCAGCCCCAAGCTTGGAACAATACAAGACGGAGAAGAAAATCACCGATGAAGAAATCCTAAAGATTCTTGAGCAGCCTGTAGCACGGTCGACCGGGGCAAAGGGTAAGAACAAGAAAAAGAAGAAGAAGCCGGCCAAGAAAGCAACAGAGGAGGAAGACGAGGACTCCAGCGATGAGGAGTGAACGATTAACGCTGGGAAGCCCAGCATCTGGCGAGCATGCCTATCAGTAGCTGGTTTTGTTCGTCTGGAAGTTGAATAGGTGAATAATCCTGACCCCGAACCGAGGGATAGCACAGGCAGCGTGATCAGAGGGTCGTCTTCTTTTCCAGCATCTTGGTAAGAGATGTGAGCTAGGATTTCCTCCCAGGTCCGAATGCTTACTAGCCAAGGTGCAGGCAACAGATAGCTAAAAGCAAATGAAGCCATGTTCATCTCACTTCCAGCTTCCCTACTGCAGACATGACTTAACACTTGCATAATAGTGAATGACGGCACGAGCTCTTAATAGAACATTTGCTGGTTTCGTCCTCTGGTCTGCCACTCAAACACATACCCCTTTATTGGTTACAGAGCAGACTGGCAACCCTGACTTGATATTCCCATCCCCCCTCACACCTTTGCAATCTTCATCAAAACCATCAATCACATCTTTAGACAATAAGTATCCTCATCGTTGTAGAAAAGGAGGTTCAGAAAACAGTTTGTGAATTCCTAAATTAGTTTGAGGAATTAATCCCTGCCGAAGCCGAACCTCAATAATCTCAGACACCACGCGCATGACACCGCGATATATCCCCTAAGATCAGCTGCCTACCTAATAACACTTGCGGTTGTGAGTATCCATCAGCTCCACAAACTCTCTATGTGATTGTCATGTACTAACACTTCACAGGTCGGCATTCCATTCTCCGCCAACTCGATGGCTTCTCAAATGGCCTCGTCAAGGCACTTGCGGAGGTCTCGAATGTCAAGCCCATCGCACTCCTCTACGCAACACAACGTGCATGTGAAAACTGAAGCCCACGTAGGCGACTTGAGTGGAGACATGGAAGAAGAATGGACTGAGCCACCTCTACGAGCACCAGCACCCAGCTTTGAAGACTACAAAGGGCTAGAACGGCATGGTGTACTGGAGCATATGGCCCCTCTAGGAACTTTCCCAGGTCAGAAGGTCAAAACGAGACTGAAGCACCACGAGCCTACGCGGAGAATAGCACATCTAAAGAATGGGGAAGCAAGAGGGGCAAGGGAGGAGGTGAACACTCCAGAACCGGCACCACCAGTTGGAACAAGACGCTCTGAGCCCCGCAAAACCGAAGAAAGGCTCGGGAAGGTCTCATCATCTCGAGAAAGAGACCAGGATAACGACTACAATCCAAAGGGTAGTGCAAAGACTACGACGATTAAGGCAGCCTCAACACAAGCAGCACCTCTCGGAACCCCAACCTCACGCACGGGGGTCGGACAAACACGGTTACAGCAAATAGTTGAGTCGGCTATCGACCGATCACGAGAGCTTGGAGACCCTGCGCTCGGTATCGCTTTGAAGCAGCTGTATGAGGAAAGCCTGAGGAATAGTGTGGTAGCCGACCTTCTTGAAGCTGTGCTCTCTCAAAAGCCAACGTCGCAGCAAACTGCTGAATTTCAGAGCTATATCAAAGCCGCGAGGAAGCAGATTAGAGCTACTGATGATCCAGCGAAGCAGTTTAAACATTCAGCATCAAAATCAATTTCGAGGTCTCCAACTGCCAAGAGTGCCAAAGTGGGTGTCACACGCCACTCTGGTACCACAAAGGACCGAGCCAGTGCGCCTGTACTCAACAATTATGCTCCCATTTCCAACAATCGATCTTCGAAACCAAAAAGCACTGATATGGAAATGAATGGAACCCCCTCCAAAGACGAGCGCCCCTCGAAACGAGTAAAGCGTTCGAAGAGTGCATCAAGTGACTCGTCTCTCTCGTCATTGGATTCCGCTGTCGAAGACTTTGCTCCCGCCATTGAATTATCAATGCCCAGCGGAGCTAACGCTGTTACTCATCAAGGACTGAACCAAGCTAAGCAGAAACCCGCGATGGGGCCAAGATTAGGATCGTTCTCTACGCGACCTATTGATCCATCTGTTAGGAAGCCCATCACCCAACCTAGCCATCTAACGCCGGAAGAGCTTAGTGCGAAGCGTAAGGAGAAATTGACGCAGAATTACCAAGACTACGTTGTTGGACACAGCAAGGTGCGAGCAGATCCAAACCCAATAAGACAGCCCCACTCGACTGCTCCTTTAGCCGTGTTGTCGGCGGAAGCACAGCAAGCACGATTACGAAATGGTGTCAACCAAAAGAGTAGAAGAGATGAGCCAGATTACCTCGACTCCCCAACATCTTCTTCTTACGGCGAACTTCTCATTCCGCCGCCGCCAGGTGCTTCCAGAGGAGCCACTCCGAATCAGTTGGGTCGTCCATCAAAGGGAGTTAAAAAAGCTGCACGAATCAAGATGTCGTAAGTACTAGAAATTTCGGCCGAGTTCTATTGTCTGTAAAGTTTTGAAATTGTATTGTTCTGCGCTGAGATCACATTGGATGTTCGTGAGTCAACATCGGTCTATTGTCAAACTTTTGGTCTATTGTTCCGCAACACCAGCCCCTTTCCCTTTCTTCTGCGCTCCAAATGTTACACTTCAAAATGTTTCATCACAGCATTTTTCACGTCACAGTTGTACCTCGTCATCCATACATACCACGACAGTTCGTCCACTACTACATTTTTAAATCTGCGCTGGCCGCAGTATCTTCGTTTTCCTTTACTCCATCCACTATTCTGTTTCCAAATTTCTCTGCAGATATCGCATCTGATTTGTTAAATATGGCTCCCAAACGCAAGGCGACTGACGCTGGATCGTCAACTAGTCCTCTCAAGAAGCGCAACGCTGTTACCGCTGGGATCGGTCGCGCAGTAGAGTCCGAGAGCAATGGAAACGCTTTCGGTTATTATGGTCGCAATGATGATAGAGAAGATGTAAGCAAACCCAGTCCTCCATTCCTTTGCCCATCGTGCCCTGATTCGCAGCTCCAACTCACATCGTACTACATCCTCTCACCTTTCAATGCGCTCCGATGTCCGCAGCAGAGCACACGTATTTTGGCTCAGGATTAAAGGCTAATCATCACGTAGAAACAGAACTCGGACGTCTGCACATCCTGTGGTGGCCCCGGTGAGCTGGTCTGCTGTGAAGGATGTTGGCGCGCCTTCCACCACTCGTGCTGGGACCCCCCTCACGGTAAAGAAAACCTTCCCGAGGGCGACTTCTACTGTTATAAATGCCGCGATCGTCGCAACTTATCACCGAACGCAACACCGCCCGGAGTCTTGGGCGGACTGTTTGGTGACCTTGTCAAGACAAATCCCGTGGCTTTCAACCTTGCCAATCCTGTCAGAGACTACTTTGAAGGGGTCAAAACCGGGGAGGAGGGCGAATACGAGGAGGCTAGCACCGTCAAAGCAAATAAGTAAGCACATCTCCCTCAAGCAAGACTTACATTGGCACAAAACACCTGACCATCATACAGAGCACGTGCTGGATACGAAGAAGTCGCCAACAATTTCAAGCTTCGAGATAGCAAAGACAACACGGTCATTTGTTTTCGTTGTGGCAAGTCTGCCCTAGACCACAATGAGCTTGTCGCATGTGACTATTGCAATCTATCCTGGCACCTAGATTGCATCGATCCTCCGCTTGCTGCTCCACCAGTGCGGCGCAACAATGGTCGACCTCGCTTTACATGGATGTGTCCTAATCACGTCGAAAACGAGCTGTCAGGCCTCGACCCTTCTCTTGTCAAAGGCTCCAATCAAGTTCAACCAGATAGCAGCCGCTCGTACAAGATTCGTCGCCCCAAGAAAGCGAATGTTGTCACGCCAGCTGTGCGTCGTGGCCTCAAGAACAACGGTCTCATCGAGATCGAGCTTGATGTTAGTGAGGAGGAGACCAGGATTGAGAAGAACGAGAAGGGAAAGGTGATTTATCGTTACCAAGAGAATGGTATCAAGCTGGACTTCATTCACAAGGCGAAGCTGTGAGTCTGATGACCCTTTTCTACAGAATCTTGCTAATGAAGGTTCAGAGCCCGCGAACAAGCGGCTCAAGCGAAGCAAACGCTGGCACCGGTTCAATCTCGCGCACCTACCACTATCATAGTCGCCAAACCACAGCAGGCATCGTTCGATAAGCGTCCTTTCTCTGAGCGCAAAGCCGCCCTGAACCTTGCTCAACTGGCTCAGTCTGATGCGACGCTCAATCCAGACAAGGTCAAGAACCTCATAGGCACACTCATTGTAAGCTTCTGACCACTGAAGGTTTGAGGTCTGGGCTGACAGACTTCTTGAACCAGGCTGAGGCACCCATTGGAGTCGAAACTCTTTACAATTCTGGAGATTCTGCCGACGCCGCTCCGAGTGAGCAGGAGAAGAAAGATTTGCAGGCATTGATTGAACTAGCTCGCCGCCGCCTTGATGGTAGCTCCTGAGCGGAGGTGGCCCTCGGTATTCTGTGGAAGCATTTGGCTGGCGTTATCTCCTCTTGGCTACACGCATGCATACAGGGTTGTGATATACCATCGGCTTCAAGCTCCTCAGGCCTTGCCAGCTCATCAGCATAGGTAGCGTGGTTGGTGTTGTGTTTACGGCTTCGGCCCATTCCTTCGTAGCCCCAGGGACTTTCACATACCGTTTAGAAAGATCAGATCTTATGGCGGCAGTCCGGCCACTTATCCTGTGGCAAGTCATACAGATAGCTCAGATCAATACATGCATGGAACTTATCGAACATCAGGGCATCACTAGCAGTTTCAAGGCATGGTGGAGGAAACGCCAGTCTACCAAGCCCACAATAACCAACGAATGAATTGGTCAATCAAATACTTAGATCTGGTAAATCGGAACAAAAGATCCAGCCTTCGCGCCGAATTGCATCTGGCCAGCAGCAACGTGTGCAATCCTGCTCGTCCTCCGCTATTTCAATACGTCCAAGAAACATACTGAATCTAATGCAGCGATGATGGAAGCAATTCGTAGTACAGAGTATCTCGAATTCGATTATTCTGAACAGCCATTCAGAGACTAAGCAGCTTCGCACGGCAAGATTCAAAGTAAAGACCTAGAAGGACTGCCCCTGGTCTTCTATGGGCCAGGCTCGCGGAGAGCCCTGCCCACCAAAGATATACCGACATCCTTTACCTTTGGAGGAGGACAGCTTGTAATCATCTGCGCTGATCAAAGTATCCTTCGTTGCTTCGCTCCTTCCACTTTTGGCGTTATCAAATCCATTTGCAGCCACCGCATTGCCGTGAGAAAAACCATGCCTTCGAGACGTAAGACGACTGACACTCGACCGTCTACTAGATCTATGGGGGACGGCATCGGAGTCACTGCTTGCCGCGATGTGGACGCTGGAGTCAATGTACGTGGAGTGGATGTTGGAGCTTGGACTCCTCACCGCAAAGGTTCGGAACGGGGTATCGGCTGCCGACTTTGGGGGCAAGGGATCACGAGACAGAGGATGCATTCCTAGGACGGGCTACTGAAGGTACGGCATGTCTATGTCTGGAAGCAATTCAGCGATGACGAAGAGTGGAAGGTGCGTCTTTCCTGGACGGATTGGTATAAACCTCAGGAATCCATGCTTGACGAGACCTTTGACATAAGCTATGCTCGATATTGATTGTATTTACAGCAAGAGCAGGCTATGTATGCAACGTGACATGAAACCCGAGTACTTATCCATCAACCTCCTATCCATTTGGAGAACATGCCGTAATATCCACAGGTAACGCCGGGCTAAGATCAACAACGTAACAACCCTCTTTCCTATCTACCTCCCTTTCGCGTGCTTCTTTCCGCCCCCCGCAATTAGAGCACCCTTCTTCGCTTTCGGCGAGGGCTTGGGCGAGGGTTTCGGAGTCGACTCATCAACTTCCTCTTCCTCTTGGTCTTCTGCTTCCTGCTCACTTGTGTCGTCACCGTTGACTTCCTCACCGTCTTCATACCTCCAAACAGCAACCCCTTCCCCCATTTCCTCGTCATCCTCTTCATCGCCCCTCTCTTTATACGCTCCGCCAGTCGTCTGTATTCTCCCACTCCTCCTCCGTTGACTTGATGGCACCATTTCCTCGTCATTCTTTCTCTTTGTCTTCTTTGGTGGCTTCATCGTAGTGGAAGCGGGCTTAGCTTTCTTCTCCTTGGGTAAAGCTTTTCGTGTTGGTATTTGCTTCGCACGTTTGCTATCCCTACCATTGACCTCGTGATCGCCCTCACTCCTCCGCTTCTTGCCCTGCGAGCGTGCAGCGCGCATGCTCAATTTCACCAAGCCCTCGACGCCTTCTTCAACGCCCTCTGGAAGGTAATTTTTCTCTGCGATCCGCTGCGCCTCCTCGTGATCCTTCAGCTCGGTATATAGGCTCGTTGGCAGGCGGACCTTGCCCGGCAGTGTTTGAATGTTCCAGCTATGTGCGTCTTCATATTTGCGGATGGTGAGTTGGGCCAGGTCGCTGAGGTGGTAGAGACTGTTATCGTATGCTGACGAAGGATTAGTAGCATCGCGGGATTGCTTGACCCGCTGTGCAATGTGATAGATTATGGAAAGATTCTCCTCGGTGGCGACAGGTTGTAAGTAGTAGAGCAGGTATCGCGCAAAATCGACAAGGTCCTCGGCTGTGTTATCATAATCAGGGTGGTGGGCTAGCAAAGAAAGTAGACGAGCGAAGACAGATTCCATAACGATATTCCCTTTGGATGAGGACTGCTGAGCTCTGAGCGCGTAGAAGGCTGCGGTACGACTGCGAATCCAGGTTGTATTATCAGATTTCAGGGAGGCGCTGGGTTCGAAGGCGAGGAGGAAGGGGATGGTATAAAAGCGCTGTGGGAGTTTCTGTTGGCCGAGGTACTTCTTCAGCCGCTGCATGAAGAAGGAGCGGACGTTGAGAACAGGGTCTTGCGCTACCAAGGCGAGGGCATTGAAGGCAGTAGGTGTGAAAAGGGCGTCTGTATGTTTTTTGGTGCATAATTTGAGGCATAGGCAGGCGGCGGTGAGACGAAGTCGAGCCTTATGTGCAGGTGGTGTGTCTTGGGCGCTTGAGACTTCTCCGTTCTTGGTGACAAGAGTCGAAAGAAGTTTGTAAACCGGACTCGCCACCTCTGCAAGGGTATCAGGCTCTGGATGAGAGCGGATGCGGTTCACCAGGATCTTCAGAGCCCAGCATTTTGCTTCGCATTCTGTTTCCAGGGTAGGTGACCATAAATAGGACTCTGAGGGTTCTGTAGATGACGTCCGGACCTGAAGTAGGACCTTTTCGATTGCGATGTCACTGATGGCATCGCTCTCTTGATTGGCCTGGTGGGGTGCAAGAAGCATGAACTGGGAGAGGGTGGCCAAACGAGCAAGAAATCCTTCTCCCCCGTACTCGAAGCCATTGACGCACTTGGTGATAAGATCTTTCGCCAAGAGCTCTTTCTTGTCCGAGGCGGTCATAATGATAGTGACCGCATGTTTAGCTGCCTCTGCTGGAGTGCCGTGAAGAGCGAAACTTGTCATTGCTTGTACAAATTTCCGATCTTGGGGAATCTCATCTGCGAATTTCAAGGCATAGGAAGCGCACGCCTTCAGATTATCTACTGCCCCCGCGTCATTCGTCTTCTTTGAATTGGGGGCTTCATCTTGGAGTATCGTGCAGATCTCCTGAACGTGAGCTTTCAGAATTTCGGGCGTTCGAGTGGAGATCTCTCTGAGCAGCTCATGAGCGGTCGCGGCCAAGGACTTGTCGTCGGTCCTTGAATACTCCATGATAGCTGCAACATGGCTCTTATTGTACACCAGGAGACTGACTCGGTAAAGAACGGGGATTAAAATGTTGAGGAGCTCCTGCGGTGCAGTAGCCGATTGTTCGATGCGCTTTGTGAACTCTTTCTACGAAGACATTTGCTTTAGCTACAAGCGATTCCTGGGCTTAGGGGTGAGACTTACTATAGCCTTAACCACAGTCCGATAATCACTTTCTGGCGCCATGCAAAAGCGTATCAGCTGATAGCTACGACGGTCGTGCATTTTCGCAAACTTCCACAGACTCTCCGCGGCTTTCAATGAATCTGGTAGCAAGTGTGCGAAAGTGTCAATAAGTCGTGCCATGTGTTCCTTTACCGGCTTCTCATTTTCGTCCATGACGCCTCCCTATAGCAGTCGTTAGCCAGAACCAACAGGAGGCTTGATGAATGAGCCTACATTGTAATCTTCACAGCGCTGCAGGTATGCTGTCATGACTTTTGCTAGCTGAGTTTGACGAGTTTGGATCGCAAAAAACACTTTCTTGGCCCTTTCATCGAGGTCTCTGACGAGTACGAGGATCCTCTCCGTCCTAATCTTATCAGGATCAATGCTGTCAATTTCCACGTCTCCGTTCGTCTGGCTCTCTTTGACCTTTTGCGAAATTCCATTTGCAAGCTTTGCACTTTTCGCCTTGACTGGCGGATAGCTCAGTGGAAGAAGTTGCTCATATAGGACGTGATCCAGCAAAACCATAAGATCCATATCATTAGCGTAATATGTGTCCAGTATTTTGGAAGGAGCTGCTCCGATGGTCGAAATCACCTGCTCGTCCGCAACCGCTACCGCTCCAGATGCAACGCCCCATAGACTGGCCAGAACCCTCATTGCCTCCACTCGAACAGCATGCTTACGATCACGCACTCTTTCTGCGAGGACTGCAAGCACGGATCCTGGCTTATCCAAGCCACCAGAAGATCCTAGCTTGAATATTACTTCTCGAAAGCTGAACGTTCCCACAACTTTCACAGCTGCTATACGTACTTTCTCTTCGGCGTCACCTAGCATCCTAGCAAGTTCTTTGATGAGACGATCTTCTTCTTGCTGAGCAAGGCCAACACCGCCAGCTGAAGTTGTCAAGATTCGTCCGAGGCCCGTAGTCCACACTGACCGAATTACTGGTGATTTATCGTGACTTCTTCCCAGGAAGCTAGCGTACGCCTGAGAGTATGTCTGAGGGAATGGCTGGGGGGAAGAAGGTTTGGTTAGAATGTTGCGATTGAGTGTTGACTCTGCTGTGTCGGTCAAGTCAAGAGGTGGAAACGCGGCCGGGTCCAGTATCGATGGTGGGGGCAACCCCGCCGCTCCTATGCCTGAGATAATGTCTCCAAAGGTTTCCGTAGCAAGAGAGCGTAAGTGCACGTTCTCAGCAGACAACTCAGCCTCCAATTGAGGAATCACATTTTGTAGTACCGTAGGACAGGCGCGCCACAACTCTCGGAGTAATTGATGGACCTTATGTAGCTCGTTGAGGTCCTCGTCTGTAGGACCATTCCCATTCTCCATATCAGAGTCATCCAGATCATCGCTGACTCTTCGATGTGATGTCTTCTTGCTCGAAATGTTAGCTGCCGAGGATGACGACGCGTCGACTATCACATCGTTGAAATATTGGCTGACATGTCTTGCCATTTTCTCCGGGGAAGATATACAGATTGTCTTTGCCATGGTGTACGCTGGCGGCAACTCCTTCAGTGTCAACGTTGACTGTTTTTCGTCAAGCGTCACAGCATGTTTCTTGCCCTTCCCAGCAGTCCCATTCATTGCGCGGGGATCTGTCCTAAGGAATTGGGCGACTATGACATCAATGATTTCTGAGGGTAAGGTTGCAGATTCGTCGACCATTGTCACCAGTATCGAAGTCATGTGGAATTCGACATTCTTGCCCAGTTGTTCTCCAGTCGATGTTTTGGTGGAGCCGGCCAAGATGTCGAAAAACGAGGTGAACAGGTGTATCATCAATGGCTCCGAAGACGGTATATCTGTGAGCAAGACAATACTTTTGACATCCGACAGAGACGTCAGGACGTATAGGTGCTGCTGATTGTACGCGTTCGAAGGGTCTGAAAGCGCCGGGAGGACCACGGTGACCAGCATGTTGAATATGTCCTGAACAAGTGTAAGCTGGAGCGCCCTCTATATCCGTTCCTCTCGCCATGTCTACTGACCTTCAGCTGTTGCCCGGTGTAGGGCGCATCTGGGGCGCAGAGTCTCAATATATCGACCAAACAACATGCCGTCCAAGCTTTGACACCTTTATCCTTGTGCGCCAGTAAATTTGGACTCGCCAGATCCTTTGCGACTTTAGTGAAAGAGTCTCGCTCGCTCTCGTCCTGCTCCATGTCCCTCATCTCCTTGTGCAGGGCTTGTAAGCGTCGCAAGAGGTCCGCAATGGCGATGGACTTCCCAGCGCGCCATGATAACTCTTCTCGGAACTGTAGGCCCGGCATGTTGTCCTGCGGTACATCCATGATCTCTGTGGCTGCGGAAGCCGCTGCTCTTGCGGGCATTAATGTGCCCCCCGCGCGCTATGTATTCGGCTCTCCTCCTTTCAATCCGATAATTATTGCATATCGGTTCTATAGAGCCTACTCAGTCCCTAAGGCTTTCGAGTTTTGAGGAAAGCGATGATGTGGTAGGAAATGAAATGGGTGTTATAGAATGCCTTCATCTACGACTTGGCGCGTCAGTGGGCAGCGCGTTCTTCCTAGGGCTGAACGGGACTTCGGTACCGACTACCGAGCAACTAACACTGCTCTACTCGTATTGATACTTGTTAGTCTCAAAGTTACAAATTTGCCTTGAGCATATGTCCACAGCGAATCACTTTCTCAGGACAATTCTGCAGGAAAAGATGATTGAATCAGTGTTGTGAGCAATTTTGTATGCGATATCCTGTCTTCAAGCTCGAAGGCTGAGGACTCGTGATAGAACGTTACATTTGGGTGTAGAATGCACTGGTGGGTAGAACCGAGTAGTACACACCGATCATTCTACTTTATAAGCAAGAAGTGGTCCCCCACCTTTCCTGCTATCATTGTCTGATCATGAAGTTCGCTTGCACCGCTGTTGCTTGGACGTAGGTAACAGAGTACCAGAGTGAATATTGCTCTCGATTACTGCCACACCGCCCTACATATAAGAATGTTTTTTGTTTTGCTGGCCCTTCTGGTCCTTTCTCCGTTTGCTCGGACTTCTTCCTCATTCTATGACAACCCTGAGCAAGATCCATTACCTCCTACGGGCCCAGACAGCACAGAAGAACTTCATAGGAAATGGGACTTTGAGGTATTGCCCTGCTGATGTATCTCACTGCTCTGGTTCTTCTTCTCATGACTTTATCATTGATCCACCATAGTGGGGCTTTTCAGGAATATCAACTTTTGCACACTTGAGGCATATAAAATGCTTAAGTGAGAGGGACACACCCTTGTCAGTAGCCTGCAAAAACGCTATTTACCGTTGTCCTTTGCATTGACCGAGTCGGCAGCGACATCGGAATCATAGGTGCTCCTTTTGATACGGCTGTCAGCTACAGGCCCGGTAAGATCGTCTTGACGCTTTTGTAAATTCTTCTTTGTATCCTACAGATTCCCCGAAGCAGAGAACATCCAAGCTCAATGTGAACCTCCCAGGAGCACGCTTCGGGCCTCGTGCCATCAGAACAGCTTCTGCTCGTCAAACCTCCTTCCGTGGCTTCAACCCTCGCCGTGGCCTGAATCCATACACTTCACCGTACACTATTTTTGACTGTGGTGATATCCCTGTTACACCTTTTGACAACGCCCTTGCCCTCCACCAGATGACATCTGCCTTCCTCGAACTCGGTTCCCGCGCTCCAGCTTTCGCCCACTCGACCAACCCAAAGCCCAAGCTACTCACATTGGGTGGCGATCATAGCATTGCTCTTCCAGCCCTCAGAGCACTTAACAAGATCTATGGCGGACCAATCGCTGTATTGCACTTTGACGCCCATCTCGACACCTGGCGTACGTATCTTCGAGTCCGTGTCTACTTTGTAGACAATCAGAACAACCCCTCAGAAAGGCAATACTGACTACGGAATTGTAATCCAGACCCGGCGAAGTACCCGTCTGCTTGGCCATCTACACAAAGCGATTTCACTCACGGAAGTATGTTCTGGATCGCCTCCAACGAGGGGTTGATCCTGAATGGCTCATCTGCCCATGCTGGGCTGCGAAGTCGTCTTATGGGTTGGGATGATTATGAGGATGATGAACGCCAGGGTTTCCTGCGCATTTCAGCAGATGATATCGATGAGATGGGCACGGCAGGCATCGTGAGTGCGATATTGGAGAGAATCGGAACCGATACGCCGACATACTTGAGTTTGGATATTGATGTGCTTGACCCGGGCCTGGTCAGTAGACCGCTATTGTCACCTTCACAAGCCATGTTGATGTCTGACTACAAACAGTGCCCAGGTACAGGAACGCCCGAAGCAGGCGGCTGGACGAGTCGTGAGGTGATCAGAATTCTTCGGGGTCTCGAAGATTTGAATGTTGTCGGCGCGGATATCGTCGAGGTGGCGCCTGCCTATGACGGAACAGGGGAGCAGACGGCACTAGTCGCAGCGCAGGTAGGTTTCGAGATATTGACCAGCTGGGTTGGGCGCGGCATGAGCGAGATAGAGAAAGCGAAAGGCAAAGATAATAAGAGCCAAGCTTCGGGGAATGGAAGAGACGAGCTATGATGACTGAACTCAGGAGATCCTGCGTCGGAAAAGAGTATCGTCGATATACATTGCGTTGTTCCTCTACGCTTTAGGGATATATTTCGCGATAGCGAGAGTGGGGAGGTTATACATTCTACTTTACACATCGAAGGTCTCGCGCTGATAAAGCGCACTGTAGCCGGATAGAGCCCCAAGGCACTGGGCTGAATAGTCAAACACTTTGATTGAATCTAAAGCAGTGTTAGCGGACGTTGTTCGTCTTGACAGATACTTTACTCACGCGCAAGGTACTCTCTGAGTAGAATTAACCTGGGGTCATTAACCTGGAGCAACAGAGACTTCGTGCCTTAAACGGTAATGGAAATGAGCTGTTTCGGGCCTATGGCCCCGCCGGTCCTTCGGCGCATCGTTAATAGCTCTAGGGACTTATGTCCGGGCCAAGAAGACTCTGCCCTACGGGTTCTCTACCTCTGAGGAACTCTGCCTGGGATACTAGCTTTAGGATATCTCGCCCAAGCGATATGGACTCTGTTCGATAGGGTGTCTGTCCCGAAATCGATAGATATTCTTAGCGGATCTACCCGATTTCCAAAGTAGAATGGATAAATCTCATACGATAGAAAAGATGGTGGTTTGGTCTCGTCGTAGTTTCAGCTTTCGTCCGCCGTATTCTAGCCACCAAGAACACTGAAGAGAGAAAGTGCGATGAAGCCGCTTGACTGACAGATGATTTTTGATTGCATGCTTTTAGGCAGTCGTGAATTCCTGATTATGAGTCTCCGGCAATTTTGCCGGAGTCGATCCAATGATGGCCATGGATTGCGTGAAGTGAGCATCCCAGCAAGGATTTCGATGGGAACGGCATTGACGTAAACGCAGAGAGGAAGTCGGTTCCTATTCTGGCATGGGCTAGGTCTCATTGATCATTGAGGGTTTGCAATTGAGATGAGCGTGATTGTACTTCTGACTACAATCAAATTGACGGGAGCCCCTGACAAAACAGGGGATGCGAACATGTGCAAGATTTTTTTTATACTTGGCAAGACTAGACAAATGAGAAGCGTAAACTTATCTTGGAATGTCCTGAGTTCATGGACCAAACCTGGAGGCAATAAGTTGAGACAACGATTACATTGAGCTGCATGCGTTCCTAAGTATATCCTTTTTCATTGCACCTCGTTGGGGCCATACTCCACTCCAATTTATGCCTCCCGTTGGAATCTCTCATGTTCAATTTCTCCATCTCTATATCTTTGATCATACGAGCCTTCCCATGCGTCAGTATCCTCTATGACGTATCATAGCCTGTATGGGAAATCACTTCGCTTGGCGCCAGATAGACAAGCATGTGGCCGTTCTGTACTGTTTGACACTGACGGGATAGAATAATGGGTGTGTGGGGACTCAATTTAGTACAGATGGAGCAGTTGCAGCTATTTACCGGATGTGTGTCGAGGTTCGGGAGCTTGATCTTGTATTTGACTGCTCCGCAATGACAATTGGCATCGTACCAGACTCTTCGCCTCAGCCACGGCGGCGGTGGACATGATGGACTGTTGGATAAGGTGAAAAAAGATGCGAGCATCAGCATAGCGTCTCGAGCACGCCTCTTGAAGAATGGCAAGCACCAACGTGGCAATCGCTTCGCAATGTGTTTATCCCAACTGGGATGACATGGTGGGCCGACGGCGACCTCTGTGCAAGCTTCCCCGAATGCTTGGGTCCATGCATCATGAATGCCTGGCTCTACACCTACCTTCCCATCGGACCCATCGATTACAAGCACCGACATGACTCTATGCTGCACCGCAAGAGATTATAGAACTTAGAAGCAGTATCGTAATGTTGACGCCATTAGTGTGCATTATCATCAACGTATTAAGGGCATGGCGTGCTGCCCAGCATAACGGACTTGGCAAGCTTTAGGTTGGTTCGAGGGCACCAGAGGGTTTAACGGCAAGTAAGGTATGTACCTGTGAGTGATGACCGATTATCCGAGGCCAAGAACATTAACAAAGCGCTAAGGGGCGGATCTGATAAGATCTGAGGGGAAGGTAAATCCACGCTAGATTAAGCGAATCTTTGCTCTCCCCTTGCATATGGCCAATCATAATACTTAAATCCAAATAATTAATGACTCTCTCAAAAGTTTCCGACCCTCTCACACCCCACTCAAATTACGTCATGTCATATTCGAGGCCCCAAAGTAGACTAGCGTCGTAAAATGATTTATCGTTATCAGATGATCTGATTGTCATTCTCCCAACAAGGTACATTCATTACCTTACTTTAGTCTCCGTTACTTTGTCACTCTATGAGAAAGAGAATATACTGTGTATAGACCAATAGTCGTTTGTTCTCTCAGTATAATAATCAGTCCCTTCCTATTCCTCCCTTTCCCTGCGTGCTGCACTTCCCTTTCCATGATCCCCTCATGGCAGAAGTGGCGCCAGGAAACAGTCTTCCTGCTCATGGTGATCAAGACCAAATCAGCGTGGATCATGAAGATGATCAATCCTCCTTCAATTCAGATGCCACACAGACTGGAGTCAAGAACATAGAAGCGGTCAGTCAAACATGGACTCAATCGTCACTCATTGCCGCTTATCTTGGGTGAGCTTTACCGTTGCCCATCTTACTGTGATCCCTAATCGGCCATGGCATCTCTTGTTCCAAGGGGAACCATCATGTGTCGAATTAGCATCAAAACACTTGGTCGATATACACCGTTGCCGCTTGAAACGTCATGTCTTACAATTTGTCTGACTCCTTCAT